GAATACGTTTGTGATGGTTCCCACACTCATGGTCAAAGCCGGGGTACTGCACTGAAGCTTGCAGAGAACTACACATTCAAGTTGACTGACTTCATCCATGATTGTTTTCGTTCCAGAGCTAACCGGGCACAAACCGCCAAGAACAGGAAAAGGTTAGCTTTGCCCGCCATGAGCCGACGTTCTGAAGATTCAAACTTGTCGATCGCTGAAAAGATGAACGTGCGGGCTCTCAAGTCGGCCGGTTTAAAGACCGTGCCCCAGCAGAGCAACATGTCGGAGTGGCTTGCTTTTCGGAAGTGCCTTGATGTTCAGGGGGATAGGCACGCAGGGTGGGAGGACATCTTTTCTACGATCCTCGCTTCGTCAACCATCCTGGCACAGGGCAACAGAACAGAAGACCTTGAGTTGGCTGCAGGATTCATGCAGTGTTTTACTGCGCAGTCAATGTCTACGGACGCCCTGACGAACGTGCCGTGGGCAAAGGAGATCCGCCATCTGTCCGAGTTGGAACATGACTCACTGTGGGATCTGAGCTTGCCTACTGAGTACGTCCCTGGGACATCAAGGCCGGCGGTAGACGTCGTGCCCACCATCTATGTGGTGACTTCCGATTCAACTTTGGCTCTGATCACTGGAAAGGGTAAGACTTTGAAGAAGTACACCTTGAAGGAGGATCTGGGATTGCGAAAATCAGACATGGTTCTCGAAATCGGTCATGACATGCTCTGGGGTAAGGATTTACAACAGCTCTGCAAAGCAAATATTTCCATGATCAAGGAGCTGATGGCAAAATATTCTTCTCATGGATCAGCCATCAGGGTTATTTCGGTGATCTTTTGGTCTGGAAATGAAATTTGTGGGGAATATGGTGTTGAACCCCTTCCCATTTGGGGGCAGAGGGAACCACAGGGTGACTGGAATGCCATCATGGACAGGGTCAAAGGCAACATTGTTTGGTGGAACAATCAGCTCAAGGAGTTGGGAGTGGATCAGGCCGCCCTAATCGGCGAGCCCGACCCGCTCACTTATGGGTTGAGTCTCATCTTCACGACGTTTATTGAACGTCTGAAGGAATGGTTCCACAAGGAGATTGCCAGTGACAACGATCGGATTCGGTGGATCAAGAATGACATGCTTCCACCGAGGCTTGAGCTCAGGGACTACTTTCACGCATTCGAGACCGAGCTCAACCGAAGCGAGATGATCGGATATGTCATGGCAACTCTCCACATGCTGCACATGACGGACATTTTGATCCCTCAGTACAACCTGTCTTTGTACAAGCGCAGGCGCCCTGCAGGTGAAGCTACAATGCGCGATGTCCCGCCAAAGATGGAGCACCTTCCAGTCAGGTTTGTGCAGGTTCTCAACTCTCTCCGGGAGAAGGTGAACAAGCCTGCACCGAGTGTCTCGACCCCAGAAAGCTTTACAGCGGAGGAGTTGAGGGATCGCCCGACTGATGCTGGTGTCGCCGAAGATGATGATGAGGAAGGCGACCCATGGGATGCTCTGGATCCCGATGAGCACGAGGGCCCATCTTTTGGCAAAGCCAAGGCAAGCCACGAAGCTCCACCTGACCCCAAGGCGAAAGCTCCAGCGACACAGGAGGATTCAACTCAGGCCACCTCAGCTGGTGAGCCCCTGCAAGAAAACGAGATCAAGGGTACCATTGTGCCAAAACACGCATTGGGACACCTTGACAAGTATCGTATCACTTTGGACGAAAACATTAATGCAGAAGTTGTTGAACATTGTGTCGTCGATTCCCATCCCTACGAATTGATTGTCAAGACCTGTTGGGAGATGGATGGGGCAAAGGAGCTAAAATTTCCTGACCGCATGGACCGGCACAAAACTAAGGTCAATGCAGTGACGCGTGGACAGCCTGGTCAGGACACCTCTGGATTTGATGAAAACATGTGGCTTGACCTTGATGATTTCTTTCGAATGTTCAACCAAATGCTGCCAGCCAAGTTGCCCAGAATGACTGTTGAAGAGCTCATCTCATTGCTCTACTGGGACAGCAAGTGCCGTTTTGAGTTCCAGTGCATTGCCGGGTACCAGAAGGCAACCCGTAAAGGGTTAGCCTACTGGCCCATCAGGATCCGCGCAGTGCAGGGGCATACGAAACGTGCCATGGATGCCGCTTCAGCTGAGGACACGTTCAATGCAGTGGAAATCTATGCTCTGTCTGGAGCAGCAGCGATCCAGAAAATGAACGCCAAAGGTAAAAAGATTACCACTCCTCAGATGTGCCCTGGCGTAGTTTATCACAGGACTACAAAAGGCAATTGGAAGGGCATCATTGAGAATGGCTTCGTGGCTGGAGGAGGAGAACGAAACTCGTCAGGAAGAGCTCACTCTTATTTTAGCGACGTTCGTGTTGATGAGAAAGAGTATGTGAGCGGTTTGCGTGCTGAGCGACCCATTGAAATCAGGGTTGCAATGGCAGAAGCTGTCAAGGCTGGAATTGTGTTTTTCAGAACAGCTTCCGACGGCATTCTCACAAGCGATGTCGTCCCGCCACAATACATCATCTCTGTCGATGACACGGCCAAGAAGGTGAATCTTTATCGTCGCCAGCAGGAGATTGCACAGTCTGCAGCGAGCAGTGGGGGAGAAGTCGGAGTCCAGCAGCTTGTCGAGACCTTTGAGGCCAAGGCATCGAAAAGGACGGGTTCCACATCTCCGGCCGCCTCAACTGGCGCGCCCGCTGCAAAGACATTTTTCCCAGGAAAGGTGAAGCCTCCGCCACCAAATGTGGCCCAACTTGCCGGTATGCCTGGATATGCAAGCAGCAGACTGTTGCCCCCTCCTCCAAAGGGTGAAGCTCCGAAACCTCCTGCAGCAAAGGTTGAAGGACCAAAGACACCGCCAAAGACACCTCCAAAATCATCACCGAAGGAAGGGACTTCTGCACCTCATGCACCAGAAGTTCCAAAAGCTGTGACCTCAGAAGTTGATGCAGCGGCAAAGGATGAACCTGCAAAGAAGAAGGCAGCCCTGACAAGCGTGCCCGCAGCTGTGCCTGCGGCATCATCGGCTGCGGCCTTCTTGGAGCCTGTTCCAAAAGTTGCACCACCAAAGGCAGTGCAGAAAGATCCAAAAGCTCCAGTTGCAGAGTCACCCAAAAAGACGCCAGCAGCAACATCAAAGTCACTGGTGCCAAAGCAGAAGTCTCGCCCTAAAGGCGATGACCAACCTTCGAAGAAAGAGGTGAAGAAGGAGGACAAGAAGCCGGTGCCGGTCAAGATCGAAGTCACGCAATGCTCAAGATGTTTTGCACAGACTTTCAAGGGACAGATTGAATGCGATGTGTGTGGATTGATGCTCGAAGGGATCAACAAGGCCGATCGAACCAAGATTGCAGAACGAAGAAAGGCCGCCCTTCACAAGCTGGGCTTGTACTATGATTTTCGTGGTGAGTACCTGCAGAGCATCACACATGATCAGCTTGAATCTTTGGGTTTGTTGGACGACCAGGCAAGGGGAAGCTCAAGTCCGGAAGCCAGTTTGTTGGCAAGGGCGAAGAGTCGTTTCGACCGTGCCTTGAGCTTAGGCTATGTGTCTGTGGCTGACAGGTTTGCCCAGGACGCCACATTCGCAGAGAGCGTGTTGAACGAGGGGGAGAACGAGTACGATTGTGAAAGGTACGACCTCCTCAAGTCTGCACATTTGCCAAAGCCGGGTCGCACCAAAGCTCAGGTCAAGATGGGTATTTCTGAGCAATCTCAGCTTGAGCACAACGCGATGAGGCTGGTTTACTTGGATTTGGCAAGCCGTCTTGATGTCCCGAAATCATTCAGGTACATTGACCAACCATGGTTCTACATGTACCGGACCGAGATCTACTCCGAAGAAGAGTACATTGACTACCTCAGCAGGAATCCTGGACACAATCTTTTGTTGTCTTGCACAGGAGTTGACAACATTGCTGTTCATGATGCTGAACGTCATTTGAGGTGGATTAAGGGACAAAATGAAGAGCTGTACAAGCAGAACGCAGCAGAGAAGAAGAAACAGTCTGACAGGGCCCGCGAACAAAACGAGGCCAAGCGCAAAGCTGAGCAGACTGGTGCGTACGGCCAAGGTCCCTCCAAGAAAGGCACCGCCAAACCGGTTGCCCGACCATCCACAAGCGTAGAGGTAGTTTCATCATCCACGTCAGCAAGTCAGTGGCTCAATCGCCCTCAGCAAAGTCATTCCCGTGAAGATCGACAGTTCACCAATGAGTGGCAGAAGTGGCATGGGCGCTGGTACCAAAAGGTTATCAGGCACGGCCGAGTCGAATGGGAAGAGGGATAAATTTTGACACTGCTTGCATTGACGATCGTTTGTATATAGCCGCTGTACTTTTGTATGTTTTCCTCAGGTCTGCAAAGAGCTGGCTCGGTAAGGCAGGTGTAAAAGCCTCGCCCTGGTAAATGGGCAGCCTTGCCGTGTCCGGCTCACCTGAGGGGGGTGTATTTGCATCCCATGTAAAACATAGCTGTACTATAGTAATATGCTGACTAGCATTGCGGCTCAGATCAAAAAGGGTTTTGCGCTGCTAGCTTAACGGATTTTAGGTTTATCAGTCTATTTGGGTGTAATAGGAATTACCCCAGCTGAAACCTGTAAATACAGCTTCAATCAAGAATGGAAGCGCAAGAAGCATTGCTATGGAATTGATATGATCCATATAGATGATGGTTGGTTGTTCAAGTTGGGGAGAGAGGAAGCGTTTTGTGATCGGCTTCAAAACCATGCAGTTCTTGGGGTTTACGAGATTTGGCTATGCATTGAAGCCTGATCACGGTGCAACAGATTCCGTAACTCTGCAGTGGAATGGATGATGTTGCCAGAGAACTGTTAACGTTGATGTTTTTTTCCAGAGAATGAAGCGATTGGGGTCTCCATGTTTACAATTTCCCTAATGGGGAGCCTTTTCCAGCTAGGGCTTTCCCAGGCACAGGATAATGGGGAAGTGCATCGCCCATCCACCAAAGATCAGCCTCTGCAGGAGGCGCATATGGCAGGCAGTACCATGGCGTCGCCCTTCTATCTGGGGGCTGAGGAGCGTGGGTTGGGGTGTGATGGTCTCCTCAAGGTGGCATCCAAAGGCTTGAGATCTGGGGTATGGCTAGAACTTAGATACCCCTCTGGTAAATAAACATAGACCCTGAACATCACCCATTTTTAATGGAAACTCATCTTCCAAATCTCTGGCAGGGTCGAACTGTTAATTTACCAGGGGTATTTCCTCCAGATAGTGGATGAATGGTATAGTATATTTGATATACAAGGGCCTCACCAGAATTTTGATGCTACAGACCATATCTCGTGGATCTATCCCATGGTCCCTGGTCACCTGCATCGCCCAGGAGGATTCGTTGACCCTGCAGGACCTCTTGGACTGGAGCCGGCGACGGATGAGTCGTTCGGCGATGGATGTTGGGATGGGATGATTCCTGTAGGATTCGGCACCCCCAAAGGTGGGTTGACCTTTCCCAAAAAAATGTCTGGGTTTATTGAGGGCGCTTGTTAACCACCAAGAACTACGTATGATTTGGCGAATCTTAACTTGGGGGGGTTGGTTGAATATGGTTGAATGCCCATGAATGATGGGGAGGTTGCTTGAAGCCTTGTTGGCTTTGAAGAATAAATGATCTGGCATTTCTGTATATCATATGCAGGTCTCAGGTTTCCTGTAATGTTTGTATGGCAACTCCAGTGAAGTTTTTTGGTATGGCCAGAAGAAGGAAAGGTGTTTCCAGGATCCAGGAGCTGCCAAAGAGGGTCGTGACCTGAGCTATGAGGATACGTCAAGACATCTTTTCCCCTCCGCAAAAATCAGTTCCCCACCACATCCGAAAAAGAACACCGCTACAGTATGTGTGCAACATCCGAATCCGCCACCATTTTGCCACTTAGATCCGCAACCTCTGGATGTTTCACCCTTTCATCCCATTGCGACCGAGGCGAAGGCGAGGCGAGCTTCGCGTCGACGGAGTTCCAGCGGGAAGCGTCGCCCAAGTCCTGGGAGGACGAGGCGTTCAGCGGCTGATGGGGCGGGATGGGTGGGATTTTTATGTGAGTCTATAGACTTTCTTTTGTGAGATGGGATGGGATTTTCTGAGGTATTTTTTTTTTCAAAGTATAGTAATGTACTGTAGATCCGAGAGGATTTGGCATGCTTTGGGGTAGAGAACCAACTTGGAATTACAGTGGCGTTGGTATATCTGGCGGCATATACAATTACAAGTGGTGGGGTTGGTATATCTGGCGGCATATCTTCACCTGCACCAGGTCTTCTACAGCATCCTGGTGGATCGCTTCGCCAATGGCGACATCACCAACGACAACAGCAACCTGACGATGGTTGTTGTCATTTTGAGGGTTTCATGAGGGGTATTTGGAGGTGATTGGCAGCTTCTGAGCAGCTTTTGAGGTGTTCTGAGGACGTTGAAGAAAGTTCACAATATTTAGCAAAGAAAAATAGTCATGACTTTCCACATATCTTCCTTGCGCCACCTGTGCAGTCTAGACTCAATTCTCAAGCTGCCACGGCGTCCTGCAGTTTAAAGACATGAGGGCCTTGATATCTGTTGGGTGGCGCTCCTCTACAGTGCAATGGAGGCGTTTCAGCCGCTTGGCACCGCGATCACCACCACTTTGGTGGCAACAAGGCTGGCCACGGAAAGGGGCTGGCAGCGTGGCGGAGGCGGAGCTGCTGGCACCGTTGGGGGAGCTGTTGATGCCCAGCATACCGGTGGGGGAGATGTTTCGGAGCTTCAAAGCACCTTCAGGCTGGGGCAAATCTTATGTTGAGCCGGATTTGACGGCTTATGGTGTGCTCAAAGATCAGAAGGCTGCACTATTTGTGGAGTATGATGGGTACTGGCGGCATGCGACAAAGGAAGGCATGGAGAAAGACTTTCTGAAGAATTCGGCACTGTTGGAATTTGCACCTGCAGGTTCGTTTGTGATTCGCATCGGCCACACGGGCAGAGGACAACTGGACGGACATGTCTTGTGCCTAAGCGTCAATACTTGGCGTCCAGGGGATCAAACGTCACTCGCTCAGGTCTTGAAGAACGTTTTAGAACAGATTGTGCCTAGACTTCAGACTGTTTTGCATCCAAGTGTTTGCCGATGTCTTGAGAGACATTTGCAGAAGGAGCGATCAATTGTAATTTCCCAATCTTCCCAAGAGTTTCGTGAAGCAACTGCTGTAGTCCTAGGGAAAGGCAGCACGGCAGAAGAGATTTGGACCTTTTTGCACACTGAGGGGTTCCAACCTGAAGACATTCACAAGATGGAAAAGCACGCATGTATGGGACGAGTCTCTATCCCAAAGACTTTGCAGCCACTGCTTCAGTTCCTCTTTGACTTGGGACTGACTAAGACTCAAGTTGCAAAATCAGTGGCCACTCATCCGCCGATTCTCGGGTGCAGCATCGATCAGAACTTGCAGCCGACCGTGCAATGGCTGCTGGACTTGGGGCTAAGCAGGAGTCAAGTTGCAAAATCAGTGGCCACTCATCCGCCGATTCTCGGGTACAGCATCGATCAGAACTTGCAGCCGACCGTGCAATGGTTCTCTGACCTGGGGCTGACCAAGAGTCAAGTTGCGAAAGCAGTGGCCACATTTCTGCCAATTCTCTGGTGCAGCATCGATCAGAACTTGCAGCCGACCGTGCAATGGTTCTCAGACTTGGGGCTGACCAAGAGTCAAGTTGCGAAAGCAGTGGCCACATTTCCGCCAATTCTCGGGTGCAGCATCGATCAGAACTTGCAGCTGACCGTGCAATGGTTCTCAGACTTGGGGCTGACCAAGAGTCAAGTTGCGAAGGCAGTGGCCACTCATCCGCAAATTCTCGGGTGCAGCATCGATCAGAACTTGCAGCCGACCGTGCAATGGCTGCTGGACTTGGGGCTAAGCAGGAGTCAAGTTGCAAAATCAGTGGCCACTCATCCGCCGATTCTCGGGTACAGCATCGATCAGAACTTGCAGCCGACCGTGCAATGGTTCTCTGACCTGGGGCTGACCAAGAGTCAAGTTGCGAAAGCAGTGGCCACATTTCCGCCAATTCTCGGGTGCAGCATCGATCAGAACTTGCAGCTGACCGTGCAATGGTTCTCAGACTTGGGGCTGACCAAGAGTCAAGTTGCGAAGGCAGTGGCCACTCATCCGCAAATTCTCGGGTGCAGCATCGATCAGAACTTGCAGCCGACCGTGCAATGGTTCTCAGACTTGGGGCTGACCAAGAGTCAAGTTGCGAAGGCAGTGGCCGCTTTTCCGCAAATTCTCGGGTACAGTATTGATCAGAACTTGCAGCCGACCGTGCAATGGTTCTCTGACTTGGGACTGACCAAGAGTCAGGTTGCAAAGTCAGTGGCCACATTTCCTCAGATTCTTGGCCTGAGTATCCAGGAGAACTTGCAGCCGACCGTGCAATGGTTCTCAGACTTGGGGCTGACCAAGAGTCAAGTTGCGAAAAATGTGGCCCTCTGTCCACAGCTTCTTGGGTGCAGCATCGATCAGAACTTGAAACCCACAGTGCGTTGGTTCTTGGAATTGGGCTTGACGAAGAGCCAAGTTGCAGATTTGGTGGCTGAATTTCCACCGATTCTTGGTCTGAGGATTGAGAACCTCACTTGCAAGGTCAAGCTTCTGCAATCATTCCTAACACCCTCAGGTGCTTTAAAGCTCATCGCACGCAGTCCACGCATTTTGTCCTACAGTCCGCAGCGCCTGGAGCATCGTTTGAACGTTTTAGCTGAGCAGGCTAATCTTGCGAAATTGGTCAGTGCCGTGACCGTGACTGATGATGTGTTTCACAGACGCTTTGTAGCTCAAAAATTGAAGAATCCCCTTCAGAGCGGTGCTTCATTTGGTTTTGGAGAAAGATTCACCTAGGAAGGATTTGGAAGGAAGGAACTATGAAATCTCATTGTGTTTCTAGTTGATGAGTGGAATCCCTCAGGCTGAGATATGTCATAGGTCATAGATATTGATGATATGGATACTTCACAAGTGATCACATCCTGTCTTTGGTACATGAAGAGTAGCTGGAAAGGCCCCTTCAACTCACTGCAGCTTCAGAATTCAGCTCAGGGGTGCCCTGCCTGAAACCAGCTGCGGCCCAGGCAACATCCCAGACTTCCAGCGGGAGCAGTTGAAGTCCAAGAAACCGTGGTCAGGGAAACCCAGGGGGGGACGCCGCGGGACTCTAGGATGGGGTCTTGGATTCGTCATTTGTTTCGGTATGTAGCTATGATTCTCAGGGTATTCTCACACCAACAAAAGTTGATGGAGTAAAAACACGAATGACATCAATAATTCCATCTAATTACAATAATGCCAACACCGGATTAATAACCCCCCCCCCCAGAAGGTAGGGAGGTACCTTCTGACTGGTTTTCTTGATCGCCCCTTAATAAGAAGCAACTCTGAACCATAAAACTTTGGATATGGCTTACGTCAATTAGATCTTAATAGAATTCCATTGGATTTGTTAAAATTTCATGGATCAGAAAGGTGGTTGATTAATCAGGGGCAAACCCTGGTTATTATTAATGCGGGACATGGGCTCATGGGGGGTACCCTTTGGGAGCTATCCAAACTGATGATTTTTATAAAGATTTTAATTAGAAATCGATCATTTGGGGAATAGTTGTTTTTTGAAATTTTCAATGATCAACTTAAACCTGAAGTATAACAATGATGATTAAAAAAAAAGGTAAAAAAAACAATTGGAAATAAATAGAATTGGAAATAAAAAATGTTGGATAAAAAAATGGATTTCCGAAGCGGTTGTTGATTAATCGGGGGTAGGCCAAAAGAAATATTAATCTTGGGGGGACCACCTGTTTTTAAATTACATTTTTTTTTGGCAGTTTCTGTTGATTAATCGGGAGGGCATTATTAATCCTCACTTGACATTACACATCTTTCGGCCAAATTGACTCCCAAACCACCGTTTTTTGTGGCCATTGACTTTGAGCTCCTGCCACCCACACCCTGCAAGAACTGAGGTCCGTCCAGCGCTGGCGCCATGGCGGAGATTTGCACGGCGTGAAGTCACGCCTCAGTGCCTTGGTTTGGTGGAGCTGATAGGTGGGCTGCAATAGCTTTGATGTTCCAAGATATTTGGCTTTCCTCCAACCTCGTTCTTTTTGGTATTTTGTGATGGTGCATGGAAGGAGAACTAAGAACTGTTGTGGAAGAATCATCAAAGTTGGATAAAATTCATCCCAAACTGCTCGCTTGTTTAGGGTGCAGCTACATTACATGAGACATACCCTCATTCCAGCCCCGAAATCACCTGGAGGCCATCCCCCTAGCCGATGCCTCTCCGCTGCAGGTTACCTGAGGGATTTGGGCGTCACCGTCCTGGCCTTGTCGCCCATCTTTCTGAACAGCCGCTTGGAGTCAAGGGACGGGACTCCTCACGGGCACCTGGTGGTGGGTTGATGTGGCAGAGGGCAGGGTGTCAAGTTTGTTTTTTGGTGCATGTTTATTGCGGTAAGGGATAGCACCAGGGATAGACTTGGAAGTTGAGGGAGCTCGCTTCTGCAAAACGACTTGTGGGTTTGCATGTTCAAGTTTGTTTCTTGCTGAGAAGTACAGGTACACATACTTGAACCAGAAATTATCTTGAGCCAGATCCTTCTTTCCCCTCTCCCAAGCCACGGTCAATGTATCATACTGTATCTACAGCCGCCATCAGCAGCTGCCTGCTAGGTGCTGGAGAGTATCACGGCTCCTGCACAACGGACAGCCATTTGCTGCAGGGATAGATGGGTGGTATGCTGTGCCGTTTTTGGGCGTGAGTGTAAGTGGTGAGAGCAATGTACTGGTAGGTATGGCCTGAAACTATTGGCAGAACATATCAACTTACGAATGATGATATGCTGATATATTCTGGCCATTTTTGAACAGGACATTTCCTGAAGTAAAGACACCTTGAAACTTCAGCACCAGGTGATTCGACGACCACCCCAGAGCTTGTTCCATTCACTTCGAATGACTGCTGTCGATGGCTCACTGCGAGGACCTGACCAGCATCGACTCGAACTTCGGCAACAAGGACGGGGTTGCTGAGCAGTTCATTTTGAACCGGTTATGAACAAAATCAGTGAAGAATATGTTTTTCCCAGATGTGGTCCTTGGTGTCAGGGAAGAATCTACAGGAAACCTACAAATTGGATGGTGATGGTCAAGCTACAGATTTTCTATAGACTTCCCCTTGAAACATGGTAAACATATTTTTTCCTCACAATTCTTCCCTTGAAAGCAATCCAGTGCACCTTCAGACAGCTACGGATTCTCCAGGAGTTGTTGAGGGAATTGGTGCACGATGCGCACACCTTGGGTCTGAAGGTGGTCCTGGACGTGTTGCTTGGATTTGTGGGAAAAGATGGGGGTTGGGCTGACCTGAAAGTATTGGAGTCAGATTTTGGTGACTTTCCCAATAAATACAGACAGTTGGGGTGGTCCCAGTTGTGGACCTGCTGTCCACCTGTCCATGTTTCTTAGATCTGCGGCGTACATCATACCTAAACTGAAGAAAGGCCAAACACATTTCAATCCTGCGATGATGGACTCCTGCCAGTTCTGCTTCTCCACATCTTCCCACTATATACCTGAAATTACAACTACCATTAAACCCATATGAAATGCATATTAAATCCATCATTAAAGCCATCATTACAGCCATATTAAAGCCATATTATAACCCTATCATATTAAACCCAATCCCATGGCGGTCAAGCAGCCCATCCCAAGGCAAGTGAACCACGCCTGCGGTGGCGGCTTGAAATATCTGGGCGCCAACAGCGGCGTGGACGGTGTCAGCAACTGCGTCCTGTCGCGCCTTGGTGGTCCGGTGGTGGTGGGGATATGGGACCAAAATGAGTGGAAGATGGATTGAACATGGGTTGAAGATTGGCATTTTAGAGATGATTCGGAATGATTCGGAATGTTGGGATGATTTCAGCCAGACAGTCTGGCGACATCACAATGATGCCATCACGAACCAGAAACGATGCTTGGGTAGGGTAACTATACCAATATAGCTTCAATTCTGTCACATGGCTGGGAGATGAACATTTGTAGCTATACCAGCTCATTAGATGTATGTTCACCGCAGTGAATTTGGGTACGGGCACATGGTTACTGGGCTGACATTTCCAAGTTTGAGTCCAGGAATGCCGACGAAAATAGTTTTATTATGTTTTCTTGTTAATTGGAGGGGAAGACATGGAACCGGCGATGTTTGATTGCCAAATCCTCTTCCAAGCATTTCCAAATGCATTTCTGGATGGTCCGTGGATTTCTTTTGGGTAGTTGATGGGCCTAATTTTGGATTGCCATCTTGTTCTTCAATTCAGTAAACCCTGTGAACGTCTCCAACATTTCCCTTGCCTCTGGGTATAGACCTCTAGGTCAAGACCTATTCAAGGCCCCTAAGAAAATGAATGGTGGGTGAGATGAACATCCAACTGTACCAGCTAGATTTCGGTGTTGAAACCCAGGACACGATGAAGGTTTCCGATCCACAACTAAATTTTCAAAGCTCCAAGGACCACGGGTTCAGCTTCTTCAAAACTAATCTGTAGTGTACATACCATGTATCAACCATCCCAAAATTCAGCAAGAAACTTTGCTTCGATTATGTAATCATCCTGTCAAGACGAAAAGCCTTCCTCCCAGTTCTGTTGCTTTATAACCCCATCTAACTGTGGGTGAAATGAAGCAACTTACCTATTTTTTTGGGTGCCCTTCCCACGTCAATTGAGGACGGGTGAGACCTACTGGGACTCGGAACGCGGGACACCTCTCAACGAGTTCGGACGTTGCTTGGCTATTGGGTATTTGCCATCACAAAATGGAGGGTTCAACTGGTTTAACCATGAGAAAATGTGGTTTTATATGGTTTAACTATCAAAAATGGTGGTTTAAGATGGTTAGACCATGACAACTGAGGGTGTTACCCTCTGGTTATTTTAACATAGCTATGGTATAGATGACCCCATTTAGTTCGATGACAAAATGCGATGATTTGCCTTTTTTAAAGATGGTGATTTTGTAACTGGATCCATTTTTTCAAACCTATTTCGTTCTATTTTGTTAGTGTCAACACTGCTCAAGGGATGTCTACATCTAGCCAATCCATACACCAAAAAGGGAGTTCGTGGCCCCTCAAGATCTCATCATCCCCTATGATTGTGGGTTTTCTTCGTCGCAGTCCCCTGATTTGTTTCCGATTTTTACGGTAACCAATTCTTGATCATGAAACATTCCCTAAACGATTCCGGATGTCACTCTCGATTCATCAATTCATCAAATTTCATTCATCAAGTCATCAAATTCATCCGCCATTTCTTATAGATTTCTAGATTTCTATCCAGATTTCCTATCCCCCCCACATTTCTTATAGATTTCTGATAGATTCCCATCCCCCCACATCAATCCCCAATCTTTCCCCACATCTTCCGTGTTGCTCCACACCGAGGCGGGCGCCTCGGCTTCGGTGACTCGCTGCCGTCCTTCCTGCGGCACCAGTCCTTCTTCACCCGCTGCGGCCCGGCCAAGCTCTACAGGCGCGACGGCGGCGGCAATTGCCGGCGAAACCACGGTGGTTACCCTCCGGTAAACTAACATAACTATGGAAAATCACCATTTTTAATGGGAAAACTCACTATAAATGGTCATTTTCAATAGCTACGTTAAATTACCAGAGGGTATGGAGAATTTAGATGTTTTTTTTGTTTTAGGACAAGGTATAGGATGTTGATGGATGTTGATGGATGTTGATGGATGTTGATGGATGTTGATGGATGTAGATTTTCTTTGGAATAGGACAGTAACGCGATTGTAATTTAGTTTTGGGATGAAAAATGTGTGGATTGTTACAATTATGATCTGATTCTATAATTAGAGATTGAACCAATCTATCAAATTTATACCATAGAATTGTTCCAAATTGGATTACTTTCGCAAACTATCTAACATTGAAATCTAAACCATCCAAATTCTTCAATCTAAAATACTAAATCTCGTTTCGATGTTTCTCGATGACTTCTACCCTTTGCCAGGCCCGGCGGCCGCGACTTCCGCTCGCTGCCGGCCGAGAACGCCACGGCCATCGCAGCGGGGTTGTCGGGGACGCCCAGCGAGGTGGATGAATGGTGGCGGCGTGTGTGAAGTCTATTGGTTACTGACATGGGTGGGAAATTCAAACCATCCATCGTCAAAATGGGTATGGATCAATACCTATTAATACCATTTTTAGTGGGATGAACATCCATTTACCAGCTATTTTGATGTGAACTACAGGGGTACTATTGGTTTTGACACACTGCCAAATGTCAAAACCAATAGAATACAATGGTTTTGGACCAAGGATGGTGAAACTTTTTTTTAAAAAAAATGAGCAATTCGATGGTCCAAGCGAGACATCCTTTTCAGTTGGAAGATCCAACACTTCTGGGATTTTGAGCCAACCATTGTCCAAACAACGCTTGGAAGAGGAAATCATTTCCACCAAACAAATGGTTGTTACCCTCTGGTAAACTAACATAGCTATTGAAAATTGCCATTTATAGTGGATTTGCCCATAAGAAATGGTGATTTTCCATAGTTATGTTAGTTTACCGGAGGGTATCTGGAAATTGGTGGGAACACCGAATCAGTGCCAAGTGACCGTAAAGTTGAAACACGCACCATTTAGACATGATTCTGGTCTTTCGTCGAAATGGTTCTAGCCCTCCTCTCTGGTAATCCATGATTCCTGCAATAAAGACATCTTAAGCATCTTGGAGTACCCTTCATTTCCAGGAACCAATGTTTTGAGGCCCTTGTCATGCCACAGCCATACCGCCAAGGCTCTTCCCGGAGATCTTCCAGGAGACATGGCTTGGAGTTTTCCAAAAGCTGGGTCGTAAGGTTCTGAAACGAAGAGGAACTTGCTTGTTGGAAGAGGGGATTTTGGGTGTCTACAGGGTCTATGGCTTGAATTTCTCAAACATATGGAACCCAGAATTATTTTTTGTTCAAAATGATGGAATGTCTAGCTCCAGTGCTCCCCTACTATTGAGCCATGCCAACTTTTCCCCAGGACACGGCCTTTGAGCTGAACACCATGAACCCCGTGCTGCAAGAGCTGTACACCAACATGCTGAAGCCCCTTGGATTCCAATGGACTCCCTGGTGAAAATTGCTGGATAGTAAGCAACGAAGAGGGAGTGATCTCTCACCCGCAAACTATCAAACTATCCCTCAAAGAAAACTCTATAGCGTTCAAAGGCTTTAGAGTCTTACACCATCTCCAAACAAAAGTTCGGTGTGGATATCAGCTCCAAACCCATCATCCGAACGAGATTACAACCGCCCTTATTGTAATTCTTAGAATATTCTTAGATGTTTGGCCATCATCAACTGGTTTCTTAGATCTTCGCCAACCTTTCCACCCTGCATCCCCCCTGGTCATCCCCCTGGTCATCGCGTCCACGCGGTGACTCAGGTACTGGATCGCCGAGGTGGACCTGGATGGTTACCGCCTCACGGCGGCCTCGCACGTCACGGCGGACTTCACGGTGGGGGGGTGGTGTGGTGGTGGCTGGGAAGGGGGTTGGGGTTGCTGGGGTTGCTGGGGTTGCTGGAGTTGCTGGAGTTGCTGGGGTTGTGTTTTTTCGGTTGATTTACATGGGTTAGCTGATTGTTTGGGGAAAATGAAGCTAAGTTGCAAGGTTCGAAGGCATTTTGAAATGAAGAGAGATGCATGCAAACTTGAACTTGGCAATGGATACATTATATGTACTGTAATAGTACAAGAGTCAAGCTGGTATCCCTGGAGGATGCTACCACAAGCTGATACTGCCACCCTCCATGGAGTGCCCGTGTGCACAGCCTGTGCAGGCGTACCTCTCGACACACCTGCGCTTCTATGCCTCCGCGTTGGGCAAGGAGAACTTCTTCATCGTGGGAGAGGTGAATCAGGCGCCGGAGTGCTGCGGGTCAGGGTGGATGAATGGATCGGATACTGATTGCAAGAGAGGAGGTTCACAGCAGGTATGGAGATTGAAACAAGAAACAACAAAAGAAGGTCCCACACCAGTAAGAGGAGGACTTGGATCCAGCAACAAGTCCTGCATAGTATGTGGTTGATTGGACTTATCGCATTTTTCAACCCACAGAAACTGAAGCGGAGAATCCCAGCCAAGATCCATTTCATCTTTTACGTTCAAAAAATCAGAAGCTAAGCCAGAATGGCCCAAGATCCATCTTGTTGGTACTGTTTGGTACTTTTTTCATGTTTTTCTTTGTTTTTCCCCAGCTTCTCAGATGTCACTGGTGGCTTCATCCGCCATAGCCCCGCCACCCCCTGTCCGTTGGGAGGCCACCACGCCCTTCGGCGAGAGCTACCTGGGTCGCGTGCAGGGCCGTGAGGGGCCGCGGACGCTGCCGAAGACGCTGGGACCGAATTGACTATGAAACAACTATGGGAATTTATGGTATGTTATGGTCTATTGATAGATCATATAGGGATAAATATATAGGGATTATTATTATAGGGATATAGTAGGATATAATGGCATTTAGGGTAGATGATGCCCCTAAACGATAGCTAAGTTGGTGCAAATATATAACAACTAGTTAATGGCTTTATAAACCAACTTCTAACTCTGGGGCCTCACCTTGTACTTGGGTGACATGGGTGTGGCTTTGTGTTGCCTTCGTTGAGCCACTCACAGGTGAAGATTGAGCCACTCACTTTTCTTGGGCAAGCTGCGTTCTTTTTTTTACTCGTGAATGTGCAGTCTTTCGCTGTGTCCTGAGGAAAGTGCAGGGTGTTTTGGAAGAGCTGTGCCAGTTGCCTGTCGCGAAGAGATCTGGTGCCGGGAGGACTTGAGGTCTTAGAGATTTTTTGAGATGCTGACCTGATGAGAGGTATCGAAAAGTCGAGCATGACCATTTTTGAATGATGTTCAGTATGATTTCTCATCAGTTTATCGTTTTTTTAGTTCAATGCATATTAGTTACCTATATGTATAATGCATCCATTTAGATTTCCGAGTAAGGAACAGATTCGATTCTGGCTGCGGAGAAGATGTTGACCGCTCCATCAACACTGTTCAAATTGAAGACTTTGCTGGTTAAACGCGGCCACCCAACTCGAATCGTGGGCTTGAGAGTCGAATACATAACCCTTTCCCAAATCCTGGTGAAATTGCCATGTAGAACCCTAAACAGGGATGGAATGATAAGTCAAACTGACAAGGCTTGGGAAATCAGAGTTGACATGGCTGCTTGAGCCTGAGGTATTACAGTGCGCTGCCTGACCAAGAACCCGGGCTCCTTTCGAGCTGCCTGGCTGGAGCCATTTCTGCTGGGGTGATCTTGGCAGATTGGAATCTTCTGGGAACTTAAAGTGTTTTCTGGGGTCAGGTGGTGATTCCAATTTTTTCAAAGTTTGGGGGTTCCTTACTTCCTTCCGCCTTTGTATCACCTAAAGGCTGCAGGGTTTTCATCAGGATCTGCCATCAGGCTCCCAGGTATTCCAATCCCCATCCATCGTCGGCTGCCCTTGGGGAACATGCGGACCTTGCGCCATGGGCGCCGGGGGACTCTGCTCGTCATGCTGATGGCGGTGGTGCCGATGGCTTTTGTGGTGCCGGAGTGGTGGCGGCAAGGAGAGGGGCAGTCTCTGTGTTGTCGTGAAAGTACAGTTGGATCTTATTCCGTTTCATCAGGTTTGTTGTGTCTAAAACCTCTCTTGATTGAACACACCTTCATGGATTTCACAAGTTGCCTGTAATATACCGTATATTGCCGTATATATATCTCATTGTGCAATCCACCCCCTTTCAGCTTGACATTTTTGGTAGTCTAACGTTAACCACCTGGCAGCAAATGCCGCCTGAAGGATGGCCCCGGCAGCGGATGAACAGCATGGCTGAGGCGGAGTTGCTCTCGCAAGTGGCCGCCTTGTTGATGCCGGATGCAATACCCATCGAAGAGACGTTCCGCAACTTCCCAGCCCCAGAGGGGTGGGGTGGAAACTATTTGGAACCAGATCTGAGTTTGTATGGGATGCTGAAGGATGAAGATGCTGCGTTGTTTGTGGAATATGATGGATATTGGCGCCATGAGGAAAAGGAAGGAATGGAGAGAGACAGGAAGAAGAATGCAGCTTTGTTGACATACGCGCCTGCAGGGTCGTATGTGATTCGCATCAGTCACACCACGAGGAAACCATTGGAAGACCATGCGATTTGGGTCAAAGTTAACACCTGGACTCGAGGTGATGAGAAGTCACTGTCAACTGTGTTGATGGACATTTTCGTGCAGCTGAAGACTTCTGGTCTTGTGGAACTCGTGCATCGGAGAGTGAGAAGTCGACTGGACATTCACACTTGTAGCGGTAGCATCAAACTGTCATTGGAGGCACAGCTGCTTATACACGCAACGGTAGTGGTAGGAAGTGGCAATACAACAGATGAAATTTCGCACTTCCTGTCTGCGAAAGGATTTTCACTTCAAGATTGCAAGCTGATGCAGCAGCAGGGAGTATCTTGTGGAACGTCAATTGAGCGGACATTGCAACCCAAAATACACTGGTTGTCAGACTTGGGGCTGACAAAGAGTCAGGTTGCGAAGGCAGTGGCCACTTCTCCGCAAATTCTTGGCCTTAGCATCGATCAGAACTTGAAGCCCACAGTGCAATGGTTGTCAGACTTGGGGCTGACAAAGAGTCAGGTTGCGAAGGCAGTGGCCACTTCTCCTCAAATTCTGGGCTACAGCATCGATCAGAACTTGAAACCCACAGTGCAATGGTTGTCATACTTGGGGCTGACAAAGAGTCAGGTTGCGAAGGCAGTGGCCACTTCTCCTCGAATTCTTGGCCTTAGCATCGATCAGAACTTGAAGCCCACAGTGCGATTGTTCTTAGAGTTGGGGCTGACAAAGAGTCAGGTTGCGAAAGCAGTGGCCACTTATCCGCCAATTCTCTGGTGCAGCATCGATCAGAATTTGCAGCCGACCGTGCAATGGTTCTTAGAGTTGGGGCTGACAAAGAGTCAGGTTGCGAAGGCAGTGGCCAACTTTCCTCAAATTCTTGGCCTTAGCATCGATCAGAACTTGAAACCCAAAATACACTGGTTGTCAGACTTGGGCCTGACGAAGAGTCAGGTTGCGAAGGCAGTGGCCACTTCTCCTCAAATTCTGAGCTACAGCATCGATCAGAACTTGAAACCCAAAATACACTGGTTGTCGGACTTGGGCCTGACAAAGAGTCAGGTTGCGAAGGCAGTGGCCACTTTTCCTCAAATTCTGGGCTACAGCATCGATCAGAACTTGAAACCCACAGTGCAATGGTTGTCAGACTTGGGCCTGACGAAGAGTCAGATTGCGAAGGCAGTGGCCACTTCTCCTCAAATTCTGGGCTACAGCATCGATCAGAACTTGAAACCCACAGTGCAATGGTTGTCAGACTTGGGCCTGACGAAGAGTCAGGTCGCGAAGGCAGTGGCCACTTCTCCTCAAATTCTGGGCTACAGCATAGATCAGAACTTGAAACGCAAAATACACTGGTTGTCAACCTTGGGGCTGACAAAGAGTCAGGTTGCGAAGGCAGTGGCCACTTTTCCTCAAATTCTTGGCCTTAGCATCGATCAGAACTTGAAACCCACAGTGCAATGGTTGTCAGACTTGGGGCTGACAAAGAGTCAGGTTGCGAAGGCAGTGGCCAACTTTCCTCCAGTTCTTGGCCTGAGCATCCACAAAAATCTCAAGAACAAGGTGAAGCTTTTGCAATGGTTCCTGACACCCAGCCGTTTTGTAGGGCTGGTCGCCCAATGCCCCCGGATCTTTTCGTACAGCCAGCAGCGGCTAGAGGACCGCGTGCATGTTCTTTCAAAGCAAGGCAGTTTGGGCAAGCTGAGAGGTGCAATGTCTCTGACAGAAGAAGCATTCCACAAGCGTTTTGTATCGCTTGTAGTGCGGAACAAGAATCGATAGCAATGGAACAATCCTCGCCGCCTTGAGTTTGCTCGGGAGGAAATTAGGAAAAGGCCACTGCGCAGGGTGTTTGCCAGTTAGAGCAGTCAGCCAGGTTTGCTCACGCTGCTGTCAAGCGAAACATACTTCCAAGACAGCCTTGTTCAATCGTAAAAGCGTCTTGCAGTTTGCCAAGTTGGACATGAATTTCTAAATCAATAAGACAATGGATTGCGAAGATAGAAATTGTCCCCTCCCTACTTCTGTTGGTTCCTATCCCTAGTAGCTTATGCACCAGCATTTCCATCAATCAATCCGAATGGCAATTTACCCTTTATTACTCTATTCCCTCTATTCCTTCAAGATAGAGTTCAGAATCATATTCAGATATAGCCAGATAGAATTTCTTACTATTCTTTTTATTACTTCAAGATATAGCCAGAGTTCTTCCCCAGTTTTTTCCTTTCCCATTTTGGTCAATACCATCGTGGCCCGACCACCCCTGGAGCCCAGGCTATCCGCTGCAGGAGGTCTTCCACCTCCGTGACAGCGTGCTGGGTGCCAGCGACGTACCTGTGACGGCAGTCGAGGGAAGTGGTGGGGATGGTGGTGCCAGACGGTCTGTGGTGCTGGTTGAAGGGTGGAAGGACGGTTTCAACATGTTTCCGGGGAGAATCAGATTTATGATTTTGAATATGATAAGATTCATTTTTTTGTGAAGACTTGGTTTGGTGGCAAAGGATATTCCGCAATATGGTGGTGGGGTTGGGAAGCTGAAATTATGGCAATCTTCACCATAGGCTGACATCCTTTGCCATCCCATTTTCATAGACTGCAATCGGTTATTGAACTGGACCTCTCCAGCAATCATATTGATCAGAGCTTGCCCACATGCAAAGCGCTTGAGCAGATGCTGTAGTGCCTACACTGTATAGTGACTTCAAGCAACAGCCTCGCGCTGGTGCCCCACTTTGCCCCCCTTTTTTATGGCTCACTCACCAAAAAGCGGATCATTACATTGAATCTTTATTTATTTATTTTTTTAAATCAAATAGTTCGAAAAATCAAGATCGCTCATCCACAGTGCTTCCTAAAGGCTTCATTTTCACCTGGGCCATAGCCCGAATCATCGCCACCAGCCGCCGTGAGGCCATGGGTCTCTACGAACAGGAAGGCGCCGTTGCGGCCATCGCGCGCTCGCGCACCGCCTTGGCCACGGGGAAGATGCGGCTGGCGCTGGCGGGGGCGGAGACGCTTGGTGGATGTGGTGGGGGTGGGGATGGGGATGGGGATGGAAGTCATGGTGGTTGGAGGTTTTCTTGGCATATTTTTTTTAAAGAGATCAGATATATACATGATCTATCCAGGTCTATCCATGTGTTTCAGGTCTATCCATGTGTTTCGTGCCCTCAACAGCTATGTTTTCGTTAAAATGAATGAAGGATTCCTTGGAAAAAACGTTTCTATAGTTGCAAACAGACTGTTTACAAATAGAATCTATATGAATCCAATAGATCTTATTTTAGATTTTCGGACCTGTAAAAAACTCATCACCTTCAACTCGTTGCAGTAACCACCCCCCCATGGCCTTGCCATGCGCCACACTCCGAGGTCCCGTGACGTCAGGAAGCTGCTGAGCTCGCCGCGGCAGGGCCACGAGTTGTGGCGCCTCATCATCGCTATGGCCTGGAGCTTCACATGGTGGGGGCCGAGGGGTTGGGGGATGGGGATGGGGGATGGGGTTGGGTGGGGGTGTTGGGGGTATCAAAGATATACAAAAAATGGGGGATGGGGGTTGGGGGTTGGGGAAATATGCCCAAAATATGCCAGAAATGGGAGTTACCCCTCTGATTTAAGGTAGCTATAGGTATGGATGGCTCATTTGTAGATGATAAACATGATGATTTACCATGATTTAATGATTTACCTATTCAAACTGGTGATGACGTTAAATAGCCAGAGGGTAGACATTTTAGATGATGGTGCAGGGATGGGAAAGGGAACTTGACCATCAAACATGGGAATTTCATGGCAGCAAATGCAGATTTAGCCAACGGAAGCCATGATGGACCATTTAGTTTGATGATTTACCTATTAGACTTGGTGATTTCCATAGCTATGTTAGTTTACTAGAGGGTACCTACAGCCAACAACTTTGAGAGTTGGGTTTGACCTCCAACCAGGATTGGATGGGCTACAGATATGCGGGGTTTGTTAGTCCAAAATGCTCCGCCCCATTTCATGGTCAGCATGATGCCAATGTTAGGCATCAAAAAAATGGGAAAAGTGACGATAAACCATACTTAGATGGGCCATGAACTTAGTTAAGTAGTTAGTAGCTGCTTGATAATCCACTACTTAGCCAATCATTTCCGCCAGTTCCTAACCACTTACTGTAACTAATCCCCGTGCTCATCTAAGTACTTTCAGACCACGATTGAACACGCTGTGATGACAGGTATGGCATACCCGATCTGACCAGCGGCATGGAACAGGGCCTGAATGGCTTGTGCTATCGCAACGATGAGGCATGGGGACCCCTGTGGTCTGGACGAACGTTTTATGCAGAACCAAGTGATAGCCACTGGGGTTGATACATTTCTTTGATTTATCGGAACATAACGGGAATATCATGGGAATATAGTGGGAACAGAACCAGGATGGAATATTCTTATGGAATATGAATGGCTGGTTGGTGGTTTGGAACATTTTTTATTTTTCCATATATTGGGAATGTCATCATCCCAACTGACGAACTTATATTTTTCAGAGGGGTAGGTCAACCACCAACCAGATGGTGATTTAGTGGGATACTCATGGTGAACATGGTGATATTTCCGGTGTCAGAGGGTACACCATCCAGCATGGAATGGGGCCAAAACGGGGTCGCCAGGACGATTTGAGTTGCATCGGATATGGCCCTTGTTAGGTGTTCCTCGTGACATTTAGGGGGCTGTACTCCCAACCTTTCAATGTCAAAAATTGTATCCTTGTTGCATCTATCATTCGTTCAATTTCAGAATTTCACTCCATATTTCCAAAAATGCCTCCCTTCAATCATTGGATGGGTTTAAGGCTTCAGGGCACAGCACATTTTAACAGGAAACCTCTACATTTGATGGGGAAAACCCAGGCTTTCCGGTTAAGACTTTCCCTCCAACCTCCAGGAGCGCCAGAAGTTGCACGACGACATGGTGGCGCAGGGGATTGAAGGCCCCTTAAACACATGGGGAACGGAGTGTTTTAGCGATGTCCTTTTCCCATTGGTTGGTTGATTAATAGAGGGGTCTGAGGAAGCCCCTTTAACAACAGGTAAATGATGATAGATGGTATCCCAAACCGGCCCCGGTAAATTTTTACCAAAAGGACATTATTGAAGTTTTACCACCAAGAGCTGGTGGTGTAGATGATGTGATGATGTGAGGTGGGGTAGATATAGATGCATATTTGGCTTGGATTTGGATATTTGATGCATATTTGTGGCTTAGAAGCTTTGCCTGAAGAAATATTATCTGATTGTGCAACGATGGCAACATGGGGATGGGCAAAACCTATGCTATACGGCTATACATTACTATACTAATATAATTATATATATATACCATGATAAGTATAACAATATGCTAATGTCATATATAGATACCAGATTGTTTTGGGAAGGACATCCCAATCATCAGCTATTCTTACATATTCGCAGCTTAAACCGCAGGGTTTTGATCCATTTGATCCCTAGCGGTTCCCCAGGCGATGTGGTGCACAGCATCTTGGCGAATTGCGACTATGAGGCGCCCATCGGGAGTGGAAGATGCTGCCATCTGGATGGATGATGATAGATTATATGTAAACTGTAATGATTTTGATCTATAATGATATATCTATGATAGATGATTGATGATCTTTATGATAACGATATATGGTTATGATCTATGATGTATATATGGTTATGATCTATGATGTATATTTATGGTTATGATCTACGATGTATATTGATGATTGATGATATTCGATAGTCATAACTGTTTATATCATTGATGATTGACGATGATATAGATGATGTAAACCATTTTTTCCTCATGATGTATATATACACGTTTTTTGGGCATGTCTGTTTTGTGTGGAGAGGGTAGATGTTCGTCTCTTTTTACGTTTTGTTGGTCGTGGATCATTTTGAAATTGAGACAAAAAAATGAGTCAATCTTTCAGATTCAGGGAAATACAAGTTTGGCAAGTTCGAAGTTTTTAGCCTTTTGGTGATCAACAGGTTTGACCCTTACCTTGTCGATGTATATATATATATATGTATTGTGTATTAATTATACATATATTCCTTTGGTAATCAAACATCGCAATGGCCAATCCCCCATTGAGTTTGATGCTTCTCCCATTGAGTTTGATTCTTTCTCCATTTAAGACCCATTTAGTTTGGGGATATCTTGTCCCATTGCATCCCCACAAACATATTCCATGACTAGTCCATGAATAATCCATTCATTTTCCATTCATATTCCATGGCATCCCACTTATGTTGGTGAATATTCCATGATATCCCACTTCTGTTGGTGAAATTACCACTGGTCACTTTGGTCACATCTTGACCCGTTCGATGACCCGTTGTTGAGTGGTTAGGCCTTGGGCGATCAGACGGACAGCGGCTTTTGGCACCAGGACGAACTGAAATCAGATCATGCCACTTCAACTCATGCCATCCAAGCGCAGTCGAGGAATGACATAGTCCAAATTCACTTGAGAAATCAATTTCCAAATCACACATGCCAATCTGGATCCAAGTTATTCCAACTATAGATTCAGCTCAGCTCCAAGTCCCGTTGGGAGTTTCCCACCATTTTGTCCCCTTGGGGAGCTGCTGCCCGAAGGACTCCTTCCTGGGCGGCCCCATGCGCCTGGGCGCAGCCGTGGGGGCGGTGAATCGCGAGGCGCTGAACGTAGGGTTGCTGGATGGGTTGCTGGGGGTTGCTGGGATGATTACCCTCTGGTAAACTAACATAGCTATGGAAAATCACCATTTTTAATGGGAAAATCCACTATAAATGGTCATTTTCAATAGCTATGTTAAATTACCAGAGTGTATTACTAGTGATGAAATGGATCATTCCCGAATTTTCCCTAGGTTTAGCAGCAGTAAGTATTTTTTTCCATCTTTTTATCTCCAGTACCTTAGGATGGATACGGATATCTTCCAGTCTCAGATAGATTTTTTTCCATCTTTTTCCTACAAAATCTCTGCAAAATCTCAGATCTCCGAGCCTTTTTTGTTGGATTTTGGCAGGTGGGCATCATGAACCACCTGATGGGTGCGGGTGGGCCGCACTGGTGCGAAGATCCGGTGGTGGATCGTGAGAACCAGGTGGGGGACGTGGGGCGGTAGGGTCCTTGGGGTGGTGAAAAATGTGGGAGTTTCATGGGATTTTCAAAGGGAAATCTATGGATTTTTCCAAGTTGTTTCAAGGTAAATTTATCAATGGTATCTTGAGATTTGCCCAGAAAAGATGCAAGATGGAGCTGGGCTTTTGAACATTTTTCGTGACAAGGGAGAGAAATGAGAAGCTGGAATCATAAAAGATGACATGGTCATGTCCTCCGGGTCAGCCCTACCATGCCAGCAGCAATTCGTTTCTTCCATATCTTACATGTCAAAAACAGATTCTCTCTATCTTGTGCCAATCCGTTTGGGACCTCCAAGAATTTGGAGAAACCACTGGTTGAACTCTGCGCACGCTTTCAACTCCAGGCCTTCAACACAGCCAGAGCATTGATCCGCAGCTCGAACTTCCACGGGGTGTTGGAAGGATTTCCTTTCCGGGAAGGATAGTCTGCTGGTCCTATTTTGGTCAGAGGTGGTGGAAATGGTGAGAATTCGAAGGGATAGACTGGGAAATCTGAGAACTTAGTATACGTCCATAGTTTGGATCAGCCAGCGGCAGACTGGGCACTAAAATGATGAACAGACTGATCCTTTTCTATTGATGACAATTTTTCTGCCCAATTTCCACCAGTTTTGCTGCTGAACTAGTTGAACTTTTTCAGCTTTTCCAGTTGGATCATTTTTACCAACATTTTTTTCCCCTCAATTTTGCTAGTTACATCATGGTAAATCCAAATTTTCCCTCAATTTTGCTCGTTAAATCATGGTACACCCGCCATTTTGGCCGCTGAAATCACCGCTGCCAAGGCATCCGCCGCTCCTGCTACCCTCTGCGCACCGAGCTGGACGTAGCGGCCGGCGACGGCGCGTTGGGGGCACCAAGGAGGGCTTTCGGAGTTAAACATGGTCAAAAGTTGGGGTTAAGTTTTCGTGAACAATAGGGATTTAAAGGGAAATTCGTGGGACATGAATGGAATATCATGGGAAAAGTTATGGCGACACAATGGGAATATACTGTAATTATATAGTGGGAATAGAATGGGAATATCATGGGATATACAACCAACCATAATCACAAGTTGGATTATACAGCCACATTGGGGGATGGCCATCAATCCATTTGCACAGGGTTTGATATACGCATTGATCCAGGAGACCCAATATGAGATGGATGACAATAAGCCATACACCATGTTTTGACCACGACACATATAATCCTGCAAGTCAAATGACTCACAGACAAGATCACTCACTGCCAAGTGACCATAAATGGGGAATAGAATGCCAGGCCAGAGTCTAATCTTTTGCAGGGTAACTAAGATCTGCCATGGATGCTTTTTTTTTTCCCACCAGTTCAATGACAACGAGGTAAATTCTTATTTGGAGAACACTGTTGGGGCCCTTACCCTCTGGTAATTTAACGTAGCTATTGAAAATGGCAATTAATAGTGGATTTTCCCATTAAACATGGTGATTTTCCATAGCTATGTTAGTTTACCAGAGGGTATTTGATCTTCCAAGAGTAAAATCTGTTGGATCCAGAATGAGTACAAGTGTACAGAGGATCAATGCTGTTTGGACAGATGGAAAGGCGTGGCCTTTCCGCACCGCTGAGGCAGTTGGCGTATTGGAAGATGCACGACGGACGCGAGGACCGCGGCGTGCTATGTTTTTTTTTTGCAACCTCCAATCTTGGCAGGTTGAATTGAAGTGGAAAAAAACCAAAGCACCACATCTGAAAGGAATCCATTGTTGTTAAACACCCCAAGGATCCACGAGGTGTTTGCTCCACTTCTATTATGCCCATCCCCACATGATGGGAAGACCCAACGTACCTGCCGACGGCAGCTGAAGTTAGCACGGCAGGACATGCTCATCGAGGAGCAGCCTTTGGGGATGCTGGTGGTACCTTGGAGCTGATTCCGTTGGGCCATGGGTGAAACCCGGCATCACACATGATTCCCACCTCAAAAATTGATAGACACTGACACTTGGACAAAGTTTATGAACGTTAATTTACCATCATAAACTAATTTACTATCACAAGTTTGGTCATCATCAACTCCTAGCCATGGTTTATGACATTCATTTTATGACATGAATCGACACCCAAGGTCCTCAGCATCTCGCCGGAGCCCAGCATCGAAGCACGTCGCTTGGATCATGGGATCCATATTTTTTGGGAGCGGGTTTGGGGGGGTTGTTGGCAAGCGGATACTTGGTATAATCATAATGGGAATCATGGGATATTCATGGGATATTTATGGATAATGATGGATAATCATAATGGGAATAATGGGATATTTATGGATATATATCTCTTTGATCCATTTCCCTTGGTGATACTGCTGGGATTGGTAGAATTTCACCCCCCCTTCCTTACCCCTTTTTGGATCTTTTTGATGTCTGTGTGGATTCTCATGGTATTTGTGGGAGCAGAACTGGCCGAGGCAAATATCGCTTGCCCAGCTCCTTGCGCTACACCGAAGGGCAGGCCTTCATCGATCTGCTGCACCCCCAGAGGTGCCGTAGGGGAAATTTCGGGTGCAGTTGGACCTTCCCATAGCATCCAACGTGTTGAAACATGGAGGTTTCGGTTTGACACCAACATGAAGAATAGGCATAAATAAACAAATATATATATATACTGCATGTGGCACCAGATGTTTCAGTTTGACTTACTCACAGATTTTTTGAGTGCACCGATCACGCACCTGAAACAGCGCAGGTTGGCCATGGTCTTCACCTCCTCCAATGGTCCCTTGGCGAGATGGGAGCAGTGAAGTGGCAGGGGCCAAGTGGGGAAAAAACTTAGGGGAAGGGTAGTTGAAATGGGGGAAGATTTCAAATGTCCAGGTAAAGATGGGAGAAGATAGCACCTCTGAAAATTAGGGTTTGTAAAGTGGGAAAAATCGACCACATGGCGATTTCAGTAGGAAGAATGATTGACTAACCAGTGGACTTAGGGGTACCCATCGGAGTCTGGGTAGATAATAGGATCCTGGCCGACATCACAAGTATGATGGCAAGTATAAGCAGAATGATCTCAAGAAAGGCTAGTAAGGTTCCATCAGGTTCCATAAGGTTCCAAAAAATGCTCCTATTATCTAACAAGTATGAAGGATAAACTCAAGTAAGGCCAGTCGGGTTCCTATTATCTAAGAAGTATGAAGGTTCCTATTATCATACTGGTTGATGTCACTATTATCTTCTGGACGTGTCGCCCCGGTCTCAGGAACCTTCCTATTGGTCCCGGCAGAACTGGACCCTTCGCACGTGTCCATCTTCGCACCAGTGGAGACGGCGGTGAAGGTGCACTGTTGGGGGGGTTGGCAGAAGGGAAGATAGTTAGAAGGTGAAGTATTTCAGGTAGACAGTTATCAAATCTTTAGATGAACATCTCAGGAGAATAACAAGTGGAGAATTCGGCAGCTTCAACATCCCAAAGTCTGAAACTTGCCATCCCCCCCCCGTTGTCAGGATCTGGAGGGTAGCGACTGGATGGTGTACCTTGGCAAGGACGGTTGTGGGTGCCTGCAAGATGATGTCCTGGGAGCCATTTTCGAGGTTATCTGTCTATCGATATCTGGTTGGTGGTTTGGAACATTTTTTACTTTTCCATATATTGGGAATGTCATCATCCCAACTGACTTTCATGTTTTTCAGAGGGGTTGAAACTACCAACCAGATATGGTTCCAAAGAAAAAGTGACCTTAAACATCCTTAAACAATCCAATGGATCTCCTTTTGTGGACTATCCTGTTTTTATTTTAACTTCTTTTTTTTGTGAGGAGTAACATGACCAGTCCAAAAGAGATTTCTGAAAAGATGACCAGTCCATAGACCACTTGTGGTTTTGGGCACAACAGTTCTGGACCCATACCAATGGGAGAAACGGGATTCCCGTTGGTCATGTGTTATATACAGTTGGACGGTAAAAACAATCCAGCCACTAAAAAGTGTTTTTCATCTTCGAAATAGGACTTTCACTGTTGGGTTTGGCTACTGCATGGTAGAAAACTGGAAGAGCAGAAGAGATGATTGAAAAACATGCAGACAAACATGCAGACAAGCTTATCATGATGCTACTAGCCATGGTTGTCAGATTTTGGGCCCAATTGATGATAATTATGTCATTATAAATGAATCAGCAGTACAACTAGGCTGCTATGCTTTTTCTCTTGTTTGGGCTTGCTACTTGACTACTTGACTGAATTTCCATGACTGGCCCCCTGAAAAAAGGCCTGTTGAAAGATTGGAAAATAACTTTCCAGACTTGCCATCCTTTGGGGTTTCCATCTCCATTTTCAGGGGCTTTACATGACGCCCAGATCCTCCCCTCCAAGCCTTGCCACCCTCTCAAGGTGCCGTGGTGTGTCACTGCCGCCATTGTCACTTGGTGGCTGCGGGTGTGGATGGGTTTGCGGTGCAGGAACAGTTTTTTTTTTCCTCGGCAGTAAGACTAGGAAGCCATTTCATGCACATTTTTCAACCCGGGAAACCAGTGGATTGCTTTGGAACAGCAGGTGATTCCTCCCGAAAGGTCTTGGACCCGCAGCGCTGGCTGAGGCGCGATACCTGTAAAGAAACCGCGCGCTCCGATGCTCGGCTGAGTGCGGCACATATTTTGACGGGGAAGGTCAGCCATCAACTCAGAGCTGGTCAGAAAAAGGTCTCCGAACCAGCATTTTCTTATGAATTGTTGCAGAATTGCTGTACTTTTTGAAAAACATCTTGCATAAATTGGTGGTACACTTTGCTGGAATTACTATGTTTTTTATTTCTTTTTCAATTAAATTTAAATATAGGGAACCACTAGGAAAACCAAGGAAGACCGATGAGTTTTTTGGGGTCCTACTTTTGAGACAGGGGCCTGATCGTTGCCACCTTGTGCCACCGGCAACATGCCGCACCAAGGACATGTGGCTCACTGCTGGACTGGTGATACTTTGGATCGTTTGGAGCCCCAAGGGACGAAAAAAACCCAGGCAGGGCGATTTTTCCCATTTTATGATCTATAAATTATGATGTACAACCTTGCTTCTATTTTATATTCCATGGCGTTGAATGGTCTATGCCAGTTGACTGGGAACAGTAGTATCTACTGTAGCTGATGGAGAGTGACACTTTAGGTCAGCCGGCTAAATCAGGTCCAAATTCCAATTAGCTGTCAGACTTCTATTCACCTTGATTTTTGAGATTGGAGAGCTTCACCAGGGACCATGACCAAACTTCCGAGGAAAGGCTCAACTGCAAGCCCTCATAATGCGAGCCCTACGCCTTGTTCGGCCATGGCCATTCTCCGGTCGTTCAGCCGGGACCTTTTGTGGTTCAGCACCATCTTGGTGGCAGCGTGGATGGCCCCGTCAACGGGTTGGAAGCATGGCTGAAGCGGAGCTGTTGGCGCCGCTGGCCGAAGTTTTGATGCCTCATATGCCCATCGCGGAGCTGTTTCGAAGTTTTCCTTCGCCCAAAGGATGGGGTGGACACGACTTGGAACCGGATTTGGCGGCTTATGGTGTGTTGATGGATGTGAATGCTGGGCTGTTTGTCGAATACGATGGATACTGGAGGCATGGGGAAAGGGAAGGTTTGGAGATGGATCAGAAGAAGAATGAAGCCTTGCTGATGTATGCTCCAAAAGGATCCTATGTGATTCGCATCAGCCATACCATCAGCAGACCGTTGCAGGATAACGTTCTCTGGGTCAAAGCAGACACCTGGCGTTCAGGTTGTCCAAAGGGAGTCTCGAAGATCCATCAAGACATCCTCAAGCAAGCGCTGAATGGACTGAGTCTCCCGCCTGAAATGGTGGAACGCTTGAAGGTGCAGGCAAATGATGCTATCGTTTTACCATCTACTACTTCGCTTCGCTTCATCAATGCAGCCGTAGCGGCAAGAAAGGGAGACACGATGGATGATATCTCGTGGTTTCTGGAAAGGGAAGAATTTGGCAAAGAGGATATCAATTTGATGCTGAGAAAGGGTCATTTGCGTGGAATGTCAATTGAAAGAAAACACGAACCTGCACTGCGATGGCTGTTGAACTTGGGACTGACAAAGAGTCAAGTTGCGAAAGCAGTGGCCACTCATCCTCAAATTCTTGGCTACAACATCGAGCAGAACTTGAACCCCACTGTGCAGTGGTTGTTGGACCTGGGACTGACGAAGAGTCAAGTTGCCAAGGCAGTGGCCACTCGCCCTCAAATTTTAGGCTACAGCATCGAGAATAATTTGAGACCCACTGTGCGATGGTTGTTAGACTTGGGCTTGACAAAGAGTCAAGTTGCGAAGGCAGTGGCCGCTTCTCCTCAAATTCTTGGCCTTAGCATCGATCAGAACTTGAAGCCCACAGTGCAATGGTTGTCAGACGTGGGGCTGACAAAGAGTCAGGTTGCGAAGGCAGTGGCCACTCGCCCTCAAATTTTAGGCTACAGCATCGAGAATAACTTGAGACCCACTGTGCGATGGTTGTTAGACTTGGGCTTGACAAAGAGTCAAGTTGCCAAGGCAGTAGCCACCTGTCCTCAATCTCTTAGCCTGAGCATCGAGCAGAACTTGAACCCGACTGTGCAGTGGTTTTTGGACTTGGGACTGACAAAGAGTCAAGTTGCCAAGGCAGTGGCCGCCTTTCCTATTTTTCTTGGCTATAGCATCGAGCAGAACTTGAAACCCACTGTGCGATGGTTGTTAGATTTGGGCTTGACAAAGAGTCAAGTTGCCAAGGCAGTGGCCACTCGTCCTCAAATTTCAGGCTACAGCATCGAGAATAAGTTGAAACCTACTGTGCGATGGTTGTTAGACTTGGGCTTGACAAAGAGTCAAGTTGCCAAGGCAGTGGCCACTTGCCCTCAAATTTTAGGCTACAGCATTGCCAAAAACTTGAGTCCAAAGACATTCGTTCTCAACGACTACTTCACAAAGAATAGATCTGCAGAACTTATAGGCAAATGGCCGCAACTCCTGGGTTACAGCTACCGTCGGCTCACAACTAGGCTGAAGATACTTGCAGAACAGGACAAGACTGACAAGATAACCAGTGCTATGTCCCTCACGGACGAATTTTTCCTGAGGCGCTTTCTGAGCGGTGCAAAAGAGAGTACGAGCTTTTTCGACATTTTGTTGCTCCTTTCAGGCATGATTGAGGATATATCACGGAGCGGGAGGGCAGCATTGAATTTGCAGGGCGAGGTTTTCTGTGGAAGGTTTGTTGAAGAGCCGTGCAGAGAGCCCCATGCTTTCAAAATTATAACATGAAGAATTCGTGGTGTAAAACCTATTAATTAGCAAGAGCGGCTTTCTGTGATTCGGAACTTCTTAGTTTCAAGATGTTTCAAGAATATCCTGTTCAAGATATCGATGCAGCTTTAGATCATGGTCGAAGCAATGTTGCCCCATGTCTTTGCTTCTTGGTGTTCACATCAGTTCAGGGCAATAGCAGATAAACCGAAGGGTTTTGCAAATAGGTCGATTGTTTACCGCTAAACCTGTGAAACATTTATGATAATTATTTGTATACATTTGTGCAATTTCCCGTTACCTTGAACTGCCATAGTCTTCGATCTCTGAGACTTTTCGCAATTTCTCTCAACTGGCTTCACTCTATGATCTCTATGATGTGCAACATTCTTTCTAGCCCTTCTAGCCTTGGAACAGTAATAATTGCAGATGGACAGAATCATCAGGTATACAATTCAAACTAATTGTTGGCAGAAAGCTTTCTTGGTTCCAGAGAGAGGGTAGTGAGGCACACGTAGTCATCAGCTGAACCAAAGATTGAAATTACATTCTACGATCTCAGATGGGCTGAGAAGCAAAGTTCTGTGAGGTGGAGTTGGGCCATTTTCATACAGTTGATCTTCTGGCGAACCTGTTGTGTATCCAAACAACCTTATCTTGCAAAACCAGATGAATGCAGCAGTATATTCCAATTGCCCTGTTTTGCTGAACCCTCGCTAGGAGGCAAGAAACATTTGAGCTCTATTCAGATTGGTTCTTCAGATTGTATAGAGAATCATCATGACCAAACTTCTCCGAGGAAAGGCTCAACTGCAAGCCCTCATAATGCGAGCCCTACGCCTTGTTCGGCCATGGCCATTCTCCGGTCGTTCAGCCGGGACCCTTTGTGGTTCAGCACCATCTTGGTGGCAGCGTGGATGGCCGCGCCAACGGGTTGGAAGCATGGCTGAGGCGGAGCTGTTGGTGCCATTGGCAGAGCTGTTGATGCCTCATCTGCCAATTGCGGAGCTGTTTCGAAGTTTTCCTTCCCCCAAAGGATGGGGTGGAAATTACTTGGAACCGGATTTGGCGGCCTATGGTGTGTTGAAGGATGAGAATGCTGCACTGTTTGTGGAATATGGTGGATACTGGAGGCATGGGAAAAGGGAAGGTCTGAAGATGGATCAAAAGAAGAACAAAGCCCTGCTGATGTATGCCCCAAAAGGATCCTATGTGATTCGCATCAGCCATACCATCAGCAGACCGTTGCGGGATAACGTTCTCTGGGTCAAAGCAGCCACTTGGCGTTCAGGGTGCCCAAAGCAGTCGTCCAAGATTTACCAACACATTCTCAGGCAAGCGATAAATCAACTGAAAGGGAGTCTGAATCATGACATCAAGGAACGCTTGAGGTTGTGTGCAGAGAAGGCTATGGTGGTACCATCCACCTCTTCGCTTGATTTCATCAACGCAGCCATAGCTGCCGGTAATAGAAACACGATGGATGAGATAGCCTTGTTCCTAGAAACGGGAGGATTTGATAAAAAGGATATTGATTTGATGCTTGAAAAGGCTCTTGTGCGTAGAACGTCTGTTGAAAAAAGACTTGCACCCGCACTGCTTTGGTTCTTGGACTTAGGGCTGACAAAGAGTCAAATCGCAAAGGCAGTGTCCACTTGTCCTCAAGTTCTTGGATATAGCATCGATCAGAACCTGAAACCCACTGTGCAGTGGTTCTTGGACTTAGGGCTGACAGAGAGTCAAATCGCAAAGGCAGCGTCCACTTGCCCTCAAATTCTTGGCTATAGCATCGAGCAGAACTTGAAACCGACTGTGCAGTGGTTCTTGGACTTAGGGCTGACAAAGAGTCAAATCGCAAAGGCAGTGTCCACTTGTCCTTATATTCTTGGCTATAGCATCGAGCAGAACTTGAAACCGACTGTGCAGTGGTTCTTGGATTTAGGGCTGACGAAGAGCCAAGTTGCCAAGGCAGTGTCCACTTGTCCTCAAATTCTTGGACTTAGCATCGATCAGAACTTGAAACCAACTGTGCAGTGGTTCTTGGACTTAGGGCTGACAAAGAGTCGAATTGCTAAGGCAGTGTCCACTTGTCCTCAAATTCTTGGCTACAGCATCGATCAGAACTTGAAACCAACTGTGCAATGTCTTTTGGGCTTAGGGCTGACAAAGACTCAGGTTGTGAAGGCAGCGGCCACTTTCCCCCAAATTCTTGGACTTAGCATCGATCAGAACTTGAAACCCACTGTGCAGTGGTTCTTGGACTTTGGTCTGACAAAGAGTCAAGTTGCAAAGGCAGTGTCCACTTGTCCTCAAATTCTTGGCTACAGCATCGATCAGAACTTGAAACCAACTGTGCAATGTCTTTTGGGCTTAGGGCTGACGAAGACGCAGGTTGTGAAGGCAGCGGCCACTTTTCCCCAAATTCTTGGCTACAGCATCGAGCAGAATTTGAAACCTACTGTGCAATGGCTTTTGGACTTAGGTCTGACAAAGAGTCAAGTTGCAAAGGCAGTGTCCACTTGTCCTCAAATTCTTGGATTTAGCATCGATCAGAACTTGAAACCAACTGTGCAATGTCTTTTGGGCTTAGGGCTGACGAAGACGCAGGTTGTGAAGGCAGCGGCCACTTTCCCCCAAATTCTTGGACTTAGCATCGATCATAACTTGAAACCCACTGTGCAATGGTTCTTGGACTTTGGTCTGACAAAGAGTCAAGTTGCAAAGGCAGTATCCACTTGTCCTCAAATTCTTGGCCTTAGCATCGAGCAGAACTTGAAACCCACTGTGCAGTGGTTCTTGGATTTAGGGCTGACGAAGAGCCAAGTTGCAAAGGCGGTGTCCACTTGTCCTCAAATTCTTGGCTACAGCATTGCCAAAAACTTGAAAGCCAAGATGTTGGTGCTGAATGGATTCCTCGGAGCGAACAGATCCGCACATTTGGTAGCCAAATGGCCACAACTTCTGGGTTACAGCTATCGTCGGCTTACAACTCGGCTGCAGATCCTCGCAGAGCAGGACAAGACAGACAAGCTTACAACTGCCATGTCCCTCACTGAAGAAGCTTTCCAGAGGCGCTTTCCGAATGGTCCAAAAACGAGTCCAAGGGTGCAACATGCTGTCGTGAAGGTTCATTAAGCAGATGGGCTGTGTTGGAGTGTTCGATGGTTTGTGTGCAAAAACCTTAAAACACAATTTTGCAAGCCATTTGTGCAAAGACGTTTGGATGTAAGCTTTAGACGTCAAGGTGTTTGATGCAAATTCTTGGTGTAACGTCGATCCGTTAAAACATGTGCCAACGCCTTATAGTTGCAAACTCATATATAAATATGGTGTAAATGGAATTTGGTGCACAGACTGCATGGTTTCAAGAGTGCTTTCGGCAAGATGTCTACTGAGTTTCAGGAAGCTGGCACTGTTGTCCAAGTATGAAAGCACTGCCTTGTTTGTCTTCAAGGGTGGAAAAAGAACAGCCGAAAGGTTTCTTGCCACCTCCAAATCTCACCACTTCCGACTGAAATGGTCCTTAATCTCTGAGAAGGCCTTTGTAGCAGATGTTCCTCCGTCCACAGCAATTTCCATCACTTGGTTTTTTTCGGCATTTTGCAGTTACAGCTACAATCAAGGAGACTATGGAAATATCAATCAAATTGTTCTTCATCCGCTATCTATCCTCCGCTTTTTGTGACATACCATTCAGAAATCCCAGAACGACCATGTTAGAACATCCCCCCATGCATCGAGGTCGGTGGAGTGGGCATCTTGGCCTGGAATTATCGCACGCGCATCTACCTGTCCATCGTGAAGGACCTGGGATTGGAGGGACATCCTGGTGCTGCTGGTATGGGGATGGAAGAAGTGTTGTTAGGGGGATGAGAATCCACAGGTTGAGAATGGGAGAAGTGGGTCAAGGATGGTTGAAAACTGATGGAAGGTCTATGAAAGCGTGAAAAAAAATCACTGTTTTGTGACAGGAAGGTCAGTTTTCAGCCTCCGGGGTTGCTGGTTTGGTGCCAGGAAGCGACCTTTCCGAACATCATGCAGATCTCAGGCACCGGCTGTTCACTCATCACTCATCCAATCCCTGCAAAGGATTGAGAATTTTGGTCAACTTTAGGTTCCAGCTTAAGATTTTTCACCCCACAGCACCTCCATATTTGTTCAATTGAGCAGTGTTCAAACCCCTTATTGGTCGATGATTTATAGGGGCTTACACAGTGCTCACCCACCAGTCTACATTCTACACATCTCACCATGAGATGACCATAACCCATTAGTGCCTTGTATCCTGGTACCCCACCCAGCTGCCAGCCTGCCAGCCCTGCCGGAGGTCCCAGGGTGGAGCCGAAACACGTGATCTGCGCGGCCATTGAACATACCATCCCGGAGCGTGGCGTGAAGGCGTGGGTTGGCCGTTGGTCGACTTACTTCATTGTGATAGATGGAGTCAATTGGGATGGTTTTGGGGTAAGAATGATGGGGAAACTCTGTGAGTTTACTGGGTTGATGTAGTGAAACACAAATGAACAAGAGACTTTACTAGTTCAATTTCATTGAAACCAGATGTGAAGAAATACTGGATAACACACATGTAAACAATCCAAAGAGAGCAGATTCATGTTTTTTTTTGCCTCTATCGTTTGACGTTTGGGTCAGAAAGAACATATCAGTGGTGACCAGTGTCACAGGACAGGGCAGACGTTTTAAATGGGTGAATCGGGGATCAAATCGACAGACCCAGAAACCTGGTACTGCCATCCCCTTGTCTGAAACATCTATATTCTATGAACATCTCAGAAACATCTCAGAAACATCTCAGAATTTCTGGTTGAGTTGTGGATCAAATAGGATCAATTCTATTTCTCGTGTCCATCTCTGGTGGAACTTCCTCAAGCGAATCGTGTGCCAGGTGAGTGCTGGTGGCTTGGGAAAGGTCTTGGATCAGATGCTCAGGGAACATCCTCAGGCGCTGGCGATTTGAAGTTCGGTCACGGGGAAAACGGGAGTGAGAATTGAGAAATGATAGTTTAATATAGTTTAATTGGAGTTGAATGGGATTTAAGATTTGGATTATTAAACTCCAATTAAACTATATTAAACTCCCATTTTAATATAGTTTAACTATCACTTTTGGATTATTTTGGGCTGAATGGATTTGAGTAGTCGAAGTTCTCCGCAGTTGTTCTTACTTTGATCGGCCAATACCTCTGACTGTTTGATTTAGGGAGTTTACTGTACACTTAAGTGGTTTATTGGCGGTCATGAACTAACCCGTACTTAACGGTGTACCAATTTACCAGATGATTTACCAATCAGTATTTCATGGGATGAGATAGGGATATTTTTCATGGCTCAATTGGGTGTGCTATTGTGGATTACCCTCTGGTAAACTAACATAGCTATGGAAAATCCCTATTTTTCATGGGTAAATCCACTATAAATGGCCATTTTCAATAGCTATGTTAAATTACCAGAGGGTATTATGGATTATTGGCTGAAGAGGTTTTTGAACAGGCCAAGTGTTCCAAAGTTCTTCGAACGCTGCCCTGTTCCAGTGCACCTTGAGCTTGGTGCATCCCATGTTCGGCGATGTGGACTATGGCGAGCTGGAGGATCTGTGGAGATCTGTGATCACCTGGAAGTGATGGCTTTTGTGGGTCTAACCGCTGAAAAATGGTGGTTCAAAACGGTTTAACCATGTTTAACCATGTTTAACCATGTTTAACCATGTTTAACCATGTTTAACCATGTTTAACCACTGAAAAAACATCGTTGTGGCTTTTGGGCTGATTTGGACATGTCTGAACATGGGTTTCACCAGCCAAAACACAGGGATTTAATGATGAAAAATGGGTATTTCATCGTCAACAGGGATTGGCCAATGAACAATGGATTTGGGTGTCTTAAAGTGGAGTATATCCGAAAATCAGGATAAACACAATGGGATTTGTTTCTTTTTCACCCCTTTTTTTCAGACAAACGCCAGTGATGGGTTTGGCTGTGTGTAGACTTTGCTGATTTTGATCTTTGCAAACGTATAGCTGGGGATCACAACAACGCACTGCGAAGAATAGGCGTCTGTGAGCATCGGACTTTCAGCCACACCCTGAAGGGGGCTTTCACCAGCGAAACGGAAGAATGGGAAGCACGATGCGAAAAAGGAAACGCTTCAAGCAACAAACTCTTTGATGGCCATAAGCATTAGGGCAGAGGCATAGGCATAATAGATGAATATCCCCACTTCAACAGGTCATTCGAGTGTTCGCAGGTACAAGCGATTGCTTCAGAAGCGATTGGTTCACAGTGGGTATGTTCTGGGGCTTACAAGTCACTTGCCAACCATTGTAATTATCTCAAAATCATTTCCACACAGAATGGCTCAAGAGGACTGACTTAATCTATTGCCCCCTTTGGATGCAATCTATCTGAATCTAGAAATTTACAGCAACGTCATGCTCGACCAAGTTCTTGACCATAGGGACTGAGCTGAAATCTTATGACCACAAGACAGTTTTGGATCTATCAGAAAGTATCCAGATTTGCACAATTCTACGCAAACATGTTTTTTGGGCTTGTTGACTCACTTCACTACTTGTTGGGTCAACGGTCAACCCTCAATCTTCGCTGATCAACTCCGTATGTTTTGACATTTCACCAGCACCACCACTGGAGGATCATGCTTACCACTTAAGAGCGGGAGAACTGCCTCAACCGGCTGGATCGTCTTGTACTAACTCCTCTCTTGCTACAAAATGGGTATATTTGTCAACCTAACCAGCTTAGTTTTTTGAGCCACTGTTATTTCACCCATCTATACACTGGACAACAATGGGATAACAAGCTAATTCTGACCGCACTTCGCTCATTAGCCAGTTGCAATGTGGTGCGCCCCAGTTGTAAGTTGGTTCTTAAACTCCATTAATCACCGATATATCTGAAGCATAAACCTAAAGTTGTGAACCACATTAGCCAACATAAATCAACTCTAAATCCCCATCACTTTGCTGGTTGAATTCCCCATCTTTAGTGGGTAAAAAATCATCGAATCAACCACCTGGGGCAGCACCTGGGGCAGCACCTGGGGCAGCACCTGGGGCAGCACCTGGGGCAGCACCTGGGGCAGCTGGGATGGGATGATCCCTTCGCAGGACTTTGACGAAATTCGCTGCGTGGTGGATGGCAAGGAGCAGACGAGCCCTGGCGAAAATCCGGGCCAAAATCCGGGCCGGCCTTGGATGGATGGGGGTCACATGAAACATGAAAAATTGGGGTTTACCCTCTGGTAATGACTAACATAGCTATTGAAAATGACCCAGTCGAAATAGTGGATTTACCTACTATAGATGGTGATTTTCAATAGCTATGTTAGTTTACCAGAGGGTAAGGTACCAACAAATCGACATCTTGGATTTAACGTGATTGAAACATGAAAAATGGGGTTTTAGTAGCAACAAAACCACATATTGGTGTAACTAAGCACAAAACGTGTTGTTTGAGGTACCAACAAATACGAATTTTGGTGATTCAAGCACAGACCCCAGAGTTCGGTGATCTCCCAACTGCACTATGGTTTCAAGAGTGAGGCTTTAGGAAGGGCGAATCTTCACCATCTTTTTTGGGGGAGTCACCCTCTAGGCGGGTTGGTTGACTCTCCATGATGGATAGGGATAGGTTTTTTTCATGATTTCACCATGACAAAAAATGGGGGGGTTTGACCCACAGGATATGGTGCATCGATCATCAAAGCTGGGGAAAACGAGGCTCATCTGCTGAAGCTCTCAGGATCCAGGTCTATACCATGCAGAGCGAGCTGAATGGCATCAAGCGCGTGTGGTACATCCTGAGACACTCGGTGTGGGTCAGCATGTGGGTCGAGTGTACCTCACACATATTGTCCATTGTATTCTAATGTGATAAACCAAATAAAAAAACCTAGCATTTGGGGATGGTTTGTACCATCTATCTATGCCAATATAGGGGATGGTTTATTGTTGGGGTTTACCCACCTTATTGTATTCTATTTGTATTCGATTCTTCTGTTCATTTCATGCTGGCAGGGTTCAAAACCCCGCCAACCAGTAGCTTCCCCAAGGCCGGATTGAGAGATCCACCCGTGACTTTTGGGACCCAGTTGTGACCTAAGCTTGGAACTATACAGATTGCCATTTTTTCTCACCTCTGCCGCAATGAAAAATACCAAAGTTGGCCGGCAATGACCCCAAAGCACCATTGATTTCACCCCAAAGCACCTTCCAGAGTTCGACCAAGCCCCTCGAAGTGCCCCTCGAAGTGCCAACAATGGAAATGGCCAATGCCATTTTTTGGGGCCATGTATTGTTCAGGGATATTCACCATGTGGATTCACGGGATTATAATGGATAATTAAACAATAAACATCAATAAACTGTTAATGAGGTTGGTACCTCCAATTTGAGTAATTCAAACCCGCCCTGCAAAAAAAAACACCGCCTCAGACTAACGCCCCATCGGCCGTGGCGGCCATGGAGCCTGCGAGCAAACGGCCCAGAGAAGGGGAGGCCGACGAGGACGGTGCCAGGCTGAAACTTCAGGTGTCCTTGCCAAGCGGTCGATCCGAAGATGTCTTGGTGGATCCCAGCGCTACCGTTGGTGACTTGAAACTGGCCGCGCAACGAGCTTTGCGCCAGGGCTTTTTGACCTTAACCCTGGATGGGCGTCTCCTGGACCCAGCGGAATCTCTGCAGTCGGCCGGACTTCGAGATGGAGACTGCATTGCTGCCATCGCACAGCAGCCAAAGGTAGCTGCAACGCAGGGTGGGTTTGCTTTGTGGTGTATCGGGCGTGACAGGATTGTTACATGGGGCGATCCTGCGCGCGGCGGTGACAGCACTGCGATCCAGGATCAGCTCAAGAACGTGCAGAAGATTCATGCCACCCACGGTGCTTTTGCTGCGATTTTGGCCCATGGAACAGTGGTGACGTGGGGCCAGCCATTGCTTGGTGGCGACAGCACTGCAGTCCAAGATCAGCTGAAAAATGTTCAGCAGATTAGTGGCACAGCTGCTGCCTTTGCTGCAATTTTGTCCGATGGAACTGTCGTGACATGGGGCGATCCTTTCTTGGGTGGCGACAGCACTGCAGTCCAGCATCAGCTCAGGAACGTTCAGAAGATTCATGCCACCCACGGTGCTTTTGCTGCGATTTTGGCCCATGGAACAGTGGTGACGTGGGGCCGCACTGCAGTCCAAGATCAGCTGAAAAATGTTCAGCAGATTAGTGGCACAGCTGCTGCCTTTGCTGCAATTTTGTCCGATGGAACTGTCGTGACATGGGGCGATCCTTTCTTGGGTGGCGACAGCACTGCAGTCCAGCATCAGCTCAGGAACGTTCAGAAGATTCGTGCCACCCACCGTGCTTTCGCTGCGATCTTGGCCGATGGAACTGTGGTGACATGGGGCCAACCTTTGTATGGGGGTAACAGTGCCAGAGTCCAAGACCAGCTGAAAAATGTTCAGGAGATTCACTCCACAGCGGGTGCTTTTGCTGCAATCCTTGCGGGTGGAAGCGTGGTGATCTGGGGCCATCCTGAGCTGGGCGGTAGTTACATTGCAGCCCAGGATCAGCCGAGGAACGTTCAACAGGTGTGTTCCACACATTTTGCCTTTGCCGCAACTTTGGCAGATGGAAGCGTTGTCCCATGGGGACATCCCGGCCATGGCGGTGACACCACAACAGTCTGTGACCAGCTGAAAGACGTTCAGCAGCTCCATGCAACTCGTTGTGCTTTCGCTGCGATCTTGACGGATGGAAACCTGGTGACATGGGGCGATCCACAGAATGGCGGTGACAGCAGCAGAGTCAAAGATCAGCTCGGCTACTTGTAGACTAAAATGGCTCCAGTGACCGTGACGAGATTCTGCGATCCTGTTGGTATAAGTTTTCAGATCACGGTTGTCAACGAAGGGGGTAAACAGGTAAACGTAAAAGCCTAGAAGCTATTGGTCCCTGTAACAGTCAAAGTGTGGAGATGGATGATATCACCGGAAGTGGGGATCCCAGCCAGAAACGCATGGTCCATGGTGTTTTTTTTTGACAGATCCTGCAGCCATTGGGGCCCCCTAAGGCCCTAGGATCTTCGCGGAGCTGACTGAAGTTATGACCAGGTTACTGTGACAAAAGAGTTATTTTCCAAGGCCATCTTAGACAAATGGAAAATCAAAACCGACATGATGGCGTATAAGGCTCATCTTGGATTGTAATTATGTAATACTCAAAAGTGATCTTAAAAAATGTACCATATAAATTTATATAATTTCATATCATATTATATAATACTCAAAAGTGATCTTAAGAAACATGTACGATATATATATATATATAATTAAGTTCATAAAACATCTTCAATAATACAGAAATTTAAATTCTTGGGACATTTTAGATGAACCATGGGAGTCTCATGACCAACGCACCGCGGCTCAGAACACGAAGTCTTTACGGAGAAGGTGAAGACGGCGCCGTATCCGCCGTCCATGACCAAAGTCAGGACAGGTCTGATGACTCCATCGGGCATTGGTTGGAAAGTATGGATGTTTCCATCATGGATGATTTAAGGAAATGTTTATGATATACATTCCATATTAGATAATACCATCATACCAATCTAACCATATGATATACCAATATGATGGAAAATCCTATCAAAACGGATGATCTTGAGGACACATTTTAGGAAACCCGATGAGGAGATCCCATGGTTTATCAAGGAAATGGATGATTTAAGGAAACCCAATGAGGAAACCCTCCATGACTTAGGACACCTCCAGGACCTTGGGGGTCATAATCCGGGAATCCCGTTCTTCACCATCCAGTATAATTTGGTATAATAGAATGACAGAGGGTCTTGAACACTGCTCCGGTAAAGAACACTCCAAGCTATTTTACAAGCTGGTAAGTTGGTCTGTCAACTTCATTAACTACAATAGATATATCTGCCATAAACCCAATATAGGTGTAGGATGGTGTAGGCAACTTCTGACCGTGGCACATTTGTAGGTAAATGATAGGGCAAATTAGTGATTTAACAGTGATCACCTTCTGTACACAAGCTATAATATGGATTTGTTTGAACATGTTGCATACTTCCACCTACATCCAGTACATTATCATGTTCATTTTGTTGGGGTGTGCCCATTTTCAGACACACCTAATATCGGTGAACGGTAGCCACAAGGCACGCAAAAACCCAGCCCAAACTGGCTGGAATAGGATCGTTTCGGTCCACGATTGTTCCCACTGCGTGGTCGCACTTACTAAGTAGGTTATAACATGTTATAACCCCAATTATGAGTGGATTAAGCCTACTTATCAAACTTATAACCAGAGATATATATAACCTACTTAGTAAGCGGGATGAGCCACCAAGCACCAAAGGTTTTCCAGCCGTGTTCGATTACGAGAGGAGAATTTTCCATCCATGTTTGAGTGGGGATAAAACCTCATCTTCATGGCTAAACTGGCTAAACCTCCCCAAAGTTAACGGGGTAACGCCCACCTGGTGGTAACAAATAGTTAGTATCACTAGGTTTCATTATTACTGTACACATAATATGTTATATCTAAAATATGTTATATTGCTATGTTTATTGCTAGTAGTAGTATGATTTGGAACTAGCAGTATACTTCATTGTTCATAAAATACATGTTTGTTTTAATTGGGAACACATAATTGATTAGTACTAAGTTTTATATAACGTTATAATATATATACGTATATATATATATGTAATGTTATATTATTACTATGTAATGTTATATTATTGCTCTTGTCATTACTATTAGTAGTATTAGCATTCTCAATTCGTTACGCCACGGGATGATGATCCCCGTGCAGGACTTTGCGTTACTTCTCCTTGTGGAACCAGGCACAAAGGGCGGGAGCTCGTGAGATGTGGCTCGAAGTCCTAGGTTTTTTTTTGGGTATCAAATCACTGGTACTCGGAACGATTTTTTTGCAGATCACCCAACTATAGTAACTATAGATATTGGGGATAGAAGTCATCTCAACTGACGAAGTCATATTTTTCAGAGGGGTAGGTTCAAACCACCAACCAGTGATTGTTTTGGATTTTTATAGAGATCTAAGAAAAGGTTGCCCTCTGGTTATGACTAACATAGCCATGGAAGCCATGGCCCATAGAAATAGATGGTTTACCGTTTTTACAAATGGGTGGATTTTCCATGGCTATGTTAAATAACCAGATGGTATAAGTCATCTCCAATGTTTACAAATTAAGGGGATATAATATGATAGAATTCATCTCCAACAAGTTTGTTTTTTCAAGTAAAAACAACAACAAAATCCCCAACATCGGGACAGTTGCCCCACTGAGAGCTGATACGGAAATGTCCCGGGCATGTTGACATTGGACTAACAGACCCCTTCCCATGGTCTGGTTGAAAAACATGGAACGAAACATGTAAGAAATACATAGATCAGATGATGAATAAATAGATTCTAGAATGTTAGATCCACAATAATTATAGGATGATGAATAGATTCTAATGATAGATCCACTTTTTTTGTACAGGATCTGAGGTTTACTTTGAAACATCGCGTGATTCCCATAGATCCTCCAGTTCACTTGCCTCATCCAATCATTGCAGGACTTTTTAGTTGCCTGGCTTTTGTTCATCGTTGTTATATTATACACAAATAAAAATAATGCTCCTGTAATTAAATTTAGCCAGGAACAAATGCCTGGGATGATAGGCATGGATTCTACCACTGCTTTCTGGTTTCATGGGAGTAAACCAGCGCAGGCGACGGCTGCGTTGATTCGGAAGTGCCTTGCAAAATGCCTGGGTGGGGTCGGGATGTCTGCGATGGGGACGTATGGGTGTGTCTGAAAATTTAGGGAAAACCCATGAAATCCAATGGCTTGTTCAGTTGATCTTGGGGTGGTTCCAGGCTATCCAGAAATTCAGTGGGTTTTTCGTCATCATTGTCTCCAATGACTGGCTCAATAAACATTAGTTGAAGGTTTCTATGCAAAATGGAGGTCATTACATAAGCTTCCTAGCCATAATTGGCCATAGTTAGCCTCTACAAAATCAGCCATAGTTAGCCATAGTTATCCATAGTTAGCCTAGTTAAATTACAGTACCCTTTGGTTATTTACCATAGCCATGGAAAATGGCCCATTTACAGATGGTTTACCTATTAAAAATGGTGATTTTCCATGGCTATGTTAAATAACCAGATGGTAGTTGAATCCCGTGTGCCGCTTCTCAAGGTTGAAACCCGACATCTACCACTGCATGGATTACCATGCCGCGTTGGCTCCGTTATATCTGGAGGCTGCGGGGGTTCTGTGGACAAATGTATCCCGAAGGTTCTATGGCGATGACAGGGATAGTGATAGTGGTTTACTGGGGTTCAACGTAGTATTTAACCATCAAGAATGATCATTGGACGGGATATTGATGTTTTTTTTTCATGGGAGAACAGCTGCAGCAATAGCTTCACCCTGAACCGCTCTGGGAGGAGAGTGAACAAATCCCCATCATTTTGGTCCTACACAATGCCGACTACATGGGAGTCTCTTGGGCACATCGAGGGTGGCAGGGAGGAGTGCCAGGGAGGTGTTTGAATGAAGCGTGAGCCGCATTTTTAAGGTGTTTTGGGAAGGTTTGAGGAAATACATGGGGTTGAAGATCCAACACTTCTCAGTACCAGAAGCAAATAGAAATGATGAAGATTGAGTTCTTTCCATTTCAATAGATATTTGTGTTGCAACAGATCCTCGCAAATGTTTACGTCCAATCCCATCAATTTTCGCGCAAGTGCCAAAACACCTTTCTTGCTGCCGAAGCTCCGCAGTTGAGCTGCTTACATCCTCATATCAGCTGGGTGGCCCCATAAATCTCGATTTTTTGCCGGTGAAACACATTGGTTTGGTAGGTTCAAACGTCTAAGTTTTGCTGGCCGAGGTGGTAGAGACAGACTTCATCAGCGATCGTTTCTGGATCCTTGGTCTTTGATGATCCTCTGGGAATGAAATTTGGGATTTAAGGGACAAAGAAGGGGATGTAGAGCCAAGAAATGTGGGGATTTCATCACCTAACATTTGGATTCAAGGGGTTTATAGGGGTTTATATCCAAGAAATGTGGGGTTTTAAGTCACTAAAATGGGGATTTAACAACAACAATGTGGGTTTGAGCAACAGCAATGGCAATTCAAACAAGAGAAATGAGGACCGAACCAAGAACAACTTGGGTTTTAAAGACCACTTGGAATTTGAGCCATGGAAATGAGGCTTGGATCAGCAACACCCAGAATTCAAGAAATGGACACGGGAGTTCGATGGAAAATGCTAGATCTGACCCACAAAAATGGACGTTGCAACAGAAAGTCTTCAGATTTCACCAACACTGCGATGCAACTGGCCCATAGCTGCCATAGCTGGTGGAGTTTCCCAGTGCCCAAAGGTCATGAAACATGGCTGACAGTGGGGAAACTCATCGAAGTCTAGTTTGCGGGATTTTCCAGCTGATGTTTGATTAGCAGAGGGTCATGTGCCATGAGAATTCCAATATATATATATACTATTAGGGTTGTATATATATATATTCCATGAACACATTCCAGTATATATATATATATATACATGTCCTCATCATTATCTCCTTATTTATATTCCTATTATGATATTATCTAAGTTTGTATGCTTAATTTTATCACCTTGTTTATATTCCCATATTATAGAATATACTTACGTCCACTAATTTGATCTTCATCCAAGTCCTCAGATGGCCAGAATTTCAAGACTTGGCCTGGTGAAATGAACGAACAACTTGCCTATCACGTCCTCAAATAGCAATCTGTTCATTGGTTATGTTAGAATATATATATATATATATATGATATATATATATATGTATATATGTATATGTGTAATCCAATGATATACACTGCAGTTCTTTTTTCTTAACTTAAATCATAATCCCAAAGGTTTGTTGGTAAGAGAGATCTCAATTGTTTGTTGTTAATATGAATCCCAAATTGTTGGGTGATATCATATTGACCCAAATGGTTTGTGTTGGTTGCGTCAATTGGGGGTTAATGTAATATAACATATTAGTATACCACCAAAAAATGATTAATATAATACATCTTAAGCCAACAAATGGTTATCCTCAATAGATATCAATTCACCCAAACAAATATATCACTTTATAAAAGTTGGCAACCGTTAGGTAACTATGAAACACTGTAAATACTGGGATAATCATGGGATAAACCATCTACCAACAGGTGCAGGATTTCTTCCATCCACAGTATCACCTCATTTTATCCATTTTTTCTCCCATTTCTGGAAGTCAATGCCGTCCCAGGAAGACGGTGACGCAGCTGAGACGTCTCAGCTTAATCCTGAACCTCAAGGTGAGACGGGAGTAGTAACAAACATGTGGACATTTTCAACAAAAAACAGTTTAATATAGTTTAATTATGTTTAATCTTAATTAATTATGTTTAATTATGTTTAATTATGTTTAATTATGTTTAATTATGTTTAATTATGTTTAATTATGTTTAATTATGTTTAATTATGTCTAATGATGTTTAATTATGTTTAATTATGTTTAATTATGTTTAATTATGTTTAATTATGTTTGATCATATTCATATATGTTTAATTACTTTGAAGAGAAACATGTTTTCTTTTTGGTTTTGTAAGGAACCAATTACTGTTCAGCAGCAACACCATGTTTTTTCCTTGTGCCATCTGAGATCTGATAATCAAACATGGCAACGGAAAATCCACCCAATGATAGATGAGTTTCCCTTCTAAATGCCCATAAGTTGGTTTATAAACCCCATTAACTATAGTTATAAGTACCATAGACCATAGTTATTGGAGTTATGTTCACCAACTTAGCTATCTTGGGGGCCCCACATTGTAGCCACGTTTGATGATACCGGAGGGTGTCTGGCCTGCGCAGGTGGCGACCATCAGAAAGTACTGCATGTTTGAGGGTCGCTTCAACATGCTGAAGGCAGGCGTCACCTACATCAAGCAGACGCAGGCGATTCCAGTGGGGTTGGTTCCGGTCTTGTGATTCGGTGTGCAAAACTGCATCTAGTGGCCATTTACGCAAGAAAACGAGCCATACAAGTCGGGAACTCATTACTTCTACTGTAGGGATCCCCCCCCAAAAATAAAAACACAATTTTTCAGGATTTTGCTCGTCTTTCTTCTTGGGGCTTTTATTACCTTCTATGTCTATATCTTACTTGTAGTGTGCAGGCGGGCTACGGCATTTGCGCGGTCTCCGAGAACTATGCCGTGCCTTGGGCGACCACACCACATGGTAGATGCTGTTTTGAAAAACCATGAACTGGGTATGGGTCAATAGCTATAGATACCATTTTTAGTGGGATGAACATCCATAAATCCCAGCTATTTTTAGGGCTTCACTAGGTACCAGGGTTTTGACCCATCCCCAACTCGAAAAAACATCTGAAAGCTTCTACTTAGATGGGCCATGGGATTGGTTAACCAGTTAGTAATTGGGTGATCATCCATGATTTAGCCAGTTTTTTTCCCACCGGCTACGAGCCACGTACCTAATCCCAGGCCCGGGATGTTCATCTTTCCACCCAGTGGGACCGGAAAAAACAGGTGTTTCTTTTTCCCCCAAATGACAATGGGACCACCCCCAAGAAAAAAAACAAAGATGGGAATGGTATAATGGCTCGATGAAGCCATTTTTCTCATTTTTTTTCCACATGTTAACTTGAAGATGGAGTAGAAACGAGTTTTTTCCCACATGTTAACATGTTATCTTCAAGTTTCTAACTAGTTTTCCCCTTATTCAAGATACAACTTGGGATAAACATCTTGGAATGGGCCGAAGACACCATTGGCCCTGGAAGATTTTTCAGGAAGATCATCTTCCTGGTCCCTGGTCATGGATCATTCATAAACTTCAAGGATTTTTCCATAGGAAACATACATACATCATTGTTATCATTTATGTATATATAAATATATATATATATATTGAACCCGATTTTGTTTATTATTATTGTTATTATCATTATTATCATTATTATACATTATTATTATTATTATCATTATCATTATTATTAATGTGGTTAAAACAATAATATAAACCACCCATGACTGGGAATGGTTATACCACCTCTTTATGGTGATTTGGGGGATGTTTTATTATTGTTTTAACCACATTATTTTCATTTTCATTATTATAAATATATATATATATATGGCTATGGATCAATACCTATTAATACCATTTTTAGGGGAATGAACATCCATTTACCAGCTATTTTGATGTTCACCAGGGGTACAAGGTTTTGACACACTGCCACATATATATATATGGAACCCCCATTTGTATCGGATACCCTCATTTGTGTCATCAAACATCACCTACGGTGCCGAAAAGTCCACCATTGAAAGTTCGATGAGTTGCCCAGCGGCCCGCCATGTTTGACTACTTGAATGGTATGGATCCCGTTATCCCATGGCGTGTCCTCATATTATTCCATGATATATATAATTATATATATAATTATATATATATGTAGAATCCATTAATTTTTCTATAAATTAATCTATTTTTCTCAATGATTCTTCATGATTGACAATTATTGCCCCATTAAATCCCATTAATAATCAATTGATAATCGAATAATCACCAGAATCACCATTGAATGGGTTCTATTTTCTATGAGTATCATTATCTATAGTCCCCATGACCATCACTTAAACATATGGAAAACTCCCGCCCGCGATTTCTAAGAAATCACCATTTTCTTCATCGCTAATCTAACCAATTTTTTAATCCATTACTGATCCATTGATAATCCATTACTGATCCATTGATAATCCATTACTGATCCATTGACAATTCACTACTAATCCATTGATAATCCACTGATATTCCATTAATAATTCATCAATCATCCATTCATCTTCCATACAAAAATCGTCAAATAAGCCATTCATCATCGTAGAAATCACCATTTTCCAACCATGGCTATCACTCCAACCTCTCAGGTGGAGCTGAAGCGTGAGCGCACCTTGTTCGCCGGTCTGCCTTATCTCATCAGCTTGGACAACGCCGCTTGGGCGCTTGTTACGTCAGCCATGTTTTTCAGGGTGGGACGGTGGGGAGTTCGGGTGGCGATTGTTGCGGTGAAGTTACTTGGGATACTTGGGATGTAGCTGGAGTAGTACAATATACACATATATATATAATATTATATATATATATGTAATTGATGATAGTTATAGGATATTTCATATGATATTTATATCACTTAGATTTTTAAGTGGTGAATTTTTGCTTGGGATGTAGCGAAAATTACACACTGATTGCAGTTATATGATGTTTCTATGATTTCTAGTTTAATAGTTTAACGGATTCTTTTAAGGATGGAACTGACTGTATAGATGGGATGGCAGTGACATACAGGAACCCGCCGTAACCTGCAAAAAAAAGGGGCTTTGCCCAGTTGAACCCCAACAACTGAAAGGTGAGGCGGGTTCACCCCTGATCTGCCTCCGATCTATTCCAATGTATATTCCATATATCATATATCCAATATCCACTATCTACGTTTATAATCATAAGATAATCAATACAACATAGTATGAGTACTATAATACAATATGTGATATGATATTTCACACATAATTTCACTCATAATTTCCCACATAAACATGACATCAATAATGTGAATAAGATGTTTTCCCCTACATAAAACAATCTTATTCATATCATTTGTATGAATATTAAACCTAATATAGTATTAACAATCATGATATAAAATCGAATGTTAATTAGGCTTAATACACATGATATGAATATATTACCCTCTGGTAAATTCACAGTTTGACCCTGAAAATCACCAATTTTTAGTGGTTTCACTAATCTTCCAACCTCTATCTACCAGGGTCTATGTTAATTTACTGGAGGGTAGGTTTAATATTTGTTGGGTACAGGGTGGGGCCCCCCAGTTATAAGTTGGTTTATAAACCATTATACCCTCCATTAACTATAGTTATATCTACCATAAACCATTGTTAAGCCACTTATAAACCAACCTGGCTATCTTGGGGGCCCCATACTGCATTATCTCACATCATTTGTTCCCAGCCTCAAGGCCACCGATCCCGCGGACATCCAAACGAGCATCGAGAAGCTCCGCGCGCTGCGCTTCGAGGCCAAGGGCCAGCTGCAACGGCACTGCGGCGCCTCGGCGATGCGTTACGGGGAAGGGATGGGGATGGGATTTTGACCTAGGAAAACCTAGGGAAAAATGGGACAAAACAATGGATTTTGCCTATGAAAACCTATAAACATACTGTGGATGGTTGCGAAATCCGAAGCACCAGTTGACAAATGGTAAACATCCCATGATTTCTAGGGTTTCAAAGCCATCCTTTTGGTGGTGCAGGATTTCTTCCATCCACCGTATGGCAAAAGTATGGGAAAAAATGGAGGTTTCGCTTCGCCCATTTATGGAGATTGAAGTATCGAAACTGGGGTTTTGCAGCCATCAAGAATGGAGGTTTCACTTGCCAAAACGGAAAATGGGGGGGGTGTAAATATGCGAAAAATATAGGATTTTCATCAATTCATATATAATTGTCTTTATATATGTAAGTATATGTCTGAAGTGAGATGGGATGGGCTTGGTTGGGGATGGGGTTAGAAACAGGGCAAGATTGATGAAGATGGGGTTGGAACCTGCCTTCCAAATGGGGCTTCAAATTTCACCAAGATGAGCTCAACGGGAGGAGCCAGAACCATCAAAGATTGCGGGTTAAGAAGGCAAGACATGGGAACAATTATTGAATTGGCGGGTTGAGGTTGGAAACACGGTGTTTGGAAAAGCATGTTGGAGTTTCTAACGCTTACCTAGGGATGTTAAAAATAAAGCGAAAAAATGAGGGTGTGAACCCATCAGCCTAGGATTAGGTGAATATAAACTGCAACTTGGTTCCAGAGTTCCTTCTTTGGGGCCGGTCCTACCAAGAAATCATACATCACCCCAAAAATCTCCATATTTTGCAAAGATGTCCGGGTTGCTCCAACCCACTGGTAAAATGATAGCCACAAGGTGGGTAAATTGGTATTTTACCTCTATACTTACCCGTTTGGAGCAATTCTGTTTCCAGGCCCCCCAAAAAAACACGTGATGGACAAATTATAGCTGATTATACATCCGTTTATAAACCATAGTAAATTAATTGATATATATATATTGATATATATTTACCATAAACCATAGTGAAATTGGACTTATGTTCACCAACTTAGCGATTCCGAACTGGGGCACAACCAGCAGCAGTTTCCCTATTCCCCAAGTGTTGTGGTCATTCGAACTCTGCAGCTCCAGCGAATCCCAGGTTTGGATGAGGACCCGGGTGCGAAGATCTTGATTTTCATCGGGCGCTGGGTGAAACAGTCGCTCGAACTAAATTCAATGGGAATTTCAGGAACCTAAATTGGAGGTACCTACCATATATAAGGCCTATATAAGGCCTATGTAAGGGAATATCCCAACAAAATATGGCCTTATATGGTACAGTACCTCCATTTTAGGATCCTGGATTTCCCATTGATAAATGGAGGATTTCTAGCTGGGAAAAATTATAGATGGAAGAATCTACCTGGTATATGGAAAAATCCTCAAAATACTAGCTGGGATTGGTATTTACCTGGTAAAAATGGAGGTTTAGATGGAAGAATCATCGAAGTCAATGATTTCCAGCATGCCATGTTTAATTGCTGAAGGGCGGTAGGTCCGATTGTATGTGGAAAGCCCAACCATGAAGCAATAATGTGTATCCGTACATGTATCAGTTTCTTCTTTTTCTCCGTAAGCCTCAAAGAATTGGATCCCAAGTCCCCACTGGCACATGGAATAGCCCTGTATCTGGGTTGAATCGCCATGAATGCTAGGGCCCCCCCAAAGATGAAACATGATAGACAAGTTCTTTTTTGCCGGATCTTATAGATTATTTTTCCTCATATTTTCCAGTTTTCCACCTTTTCTATCATTTTCTATCTATTGCGGGGTTGTTATATATCCCACTATATCTCATTAATACAGTAATTATATACCATTAAATCATATTACATAAATCCATATTTTGATGGTTAAGTGCCCATGTTTGCTTGTTCATTTCCTATTGGTCAACCCTGCCTTAAATCCCATGGTAACATGGATTGACCCTCTGGTACTCAAACATGGTAAGTTGATTTTATCATCATGGCAACCCCCAAAAAGAAAACACGGATCGCTATTCAAGATTCCATATATTACTAAATTCCATTATTTTTTTGGGTGGTTTTGTATCATCATCATCCACCACTTGTGGTAGATTCTATCATGAAAAAACCCTCCATTTCCCATGGAAATTCACGGAGCTCCATGGCTCAGTCGTCACCCAGGAAGGGTGTGGACCACATCGCCATGTTGACACCCGCCTTCCTTCGGAGTCACCCAGAGGTGCGCACGACGAGAGAGTTGTTGGTAGACATCCCCATGATGGAACAGATGAACAGGCTTGGTAAACATCAGAAAACATCCCCAAATCTTCTCCAGTTCTCCTAATTTCTGCTTCCCCAATTCAATTTCATGGCTTCAAAGCCCAATTTAGTTCTTCTTTTTTTTTGCTTCAAACCATTTCAAATTACACCCACCGCAGGTATCAGATCCCATGGCAGGTATCAGATAGTGGGTCCATGTGTGTTTTTTCACGTTTTTTTTCCATCACACCCATCCATCAATGGGAATTTCAGCCATGTTTGACACAACGGTAACGGGTAACTCCCAAAAAAATCTCCCAAACTTGATTCATAGAATTGGATGATGGGAAAGTTTACAGGAAATCCCTATATTTGATGGTAAAAACCATGGTTTCCTGTAGATTTTCCCTTAAACCAATCCAGTGATTGATGCGTTTTTAGCACACAGAAATCGCTCCAGTTACAGATTTGCCGCAGGTGCAAATCATCTTGGCTGGGCCGCCGGACGATGCCTGCGGCCTCTATGCCGGCACGCTGCTGGATCAGCTGGGCTGCTTGGCAAAGTTGGAACATGACTGGATTATGTGATGGTTAATAGTGGTTAATAGACTATAAACCAACAACAATGGGAATATTATGGTGATCTGGTTGGTGGTGACTGGAACATGAATTTTATTTTTCCATATATTGGGAATAATGATCCCAACTGACTTTCATATTTTTCAGCGGGGTAGGTAAACCACCAACCAGTTGGGCATTTTTCGGATTTGTCAGTGACAGAAGTGGCATTCTTGTGAGGAGAGAGGTGTTGGAGTTGGCAAAGATGGGAGAGTTTGCCCAGATAAGATGGGGGTGCACCATGACTTGGCTTGGGACTTGAGCGACCGGAAAAGGGGACCAACGTCAGATGGGGATGTGCACGGCCAGCTGCGATTTTTCTTAAGGGGAGGTGACCAGTTCTTGAGAGAGCCGTGATTGGTTTGGGAGGACTATGAAATGTGTGGAAATGGCGGGAATGGCTTGAGGATTACACAATCATAAGTGGCTATATGTCTAATCTGGTCAAATTTTGTTTCAGTGTTAAGACAAATCCCAGTTAATCATAGTTAATCAACATATCTAATGGTTGCGGGTCGTACACCCTGAGGATAAGAGTAGTTTGAAAGTCCTGCAGATGGGTCTTTGGCGAGGCCCGCAGACAAGGTGAGCTTTGATGAGCCGGCTTTCCAGTTTTTGTCACCCCCAACAAAAGCATTTCCAATTTATAATTATAGCAACCCATAGCAAACCCCAAAAAATCGAATTACTGGAGCTCCTACTACTTCCAAACATTTTGGGGTGCCATAGGGGTCCTTGGACCTCACAGCACCAAGGAGATGAGTTCAAGGGCCGCCTCTTCGTCTGTACCAAGTTCTTCAGGCTCCCCGAGGAGCTCCGCCGGGGTGCGCACCTCTGCTTCACGCCCTCGTGTGACGTGGCGTCAACCGAGGCGGTTTACCGTGGAAAACGTGGATGGTCTTCCATCCCATCCTGGAGATTTAAGCAGCAAAAATAGAGATTTACTCAGCAAGAATAGGGATCTAACCAACAAGAAAGGTTGCATACTGAGGATACTTCCACCATTTTCCAACATGTTCCACCACTTTCCTACAGTTTTCCATCATCTTCCTTCGTTTTTCACGTTTTTGCGCCAATGTTCCACCGCTTTCCCACGGTTTGTCGCCATTTTTCACCATTTTCTCACCATGTCTCCGGCCATTTTCCCAGCATTTCGGAACCGAGGTTCCGAGCCCTTCGGCTACGTGGACGTGGAGTTCGGCCTGCTGGGGGTGCCCTCGGTGGGGGCCGCCATTGGTGGTCTCGGAAAAATGCCAGGCGCGATATGTGCGATGAGATCCAGATGATGCTGAGTTTCTCAATGGACCATCCCAAAAAAAACAAATGGGGAATCTATCGATTTTAGTTAGTTGGGATATGTTGGGATAATCAAATTCCCAATATGATGGGAAAAATAGACAATGCTCCAAACCACCAACATAGCTATTGAACATGGTGATTTATAGTGGATTTTCCCATTGAACATGGTGATTTTCCATAGCTACGTTAAATTGCCAGAGGGTATCGATTTGTTTTTGGGGGAACCCAACATCCACCATTGGATGGGGAATCCAAAAAGGGGAAAAAACATTGGCAACCCCACGAATAAGCAAATTCAAGTTGACATGGGGAAGCAAGGAACTCAGAGTTTCCCATGATAATAGAATTCGATGTCCATTTTGATGGTTTCTCTGAAAGTAGGCTACCCCTAAGTCCACTATGGTCCATTATAAACTTCCCCATTAAATTAGCCAATAGTGGGGAGACAAACCCAGTTTACAGTTTATTAGGCTTAGAATCAGAACTCTGAAAAAATCATGTTACAGCCATTTGATGGGGGCTATAGCCAGTAAATGGCAATAATCATGGGATTGACAGTAAGGGATATATAATGATTCAACATAATAATGATGCGTACTACCATACCGGGGGCATATATATTATATCTTTGGTAAACACCTGCAGAAATGGGATCGTGGCGAAGATCATGGGAGACAAATTTCGGAGTATCATAAGAAACAAATCATAACCTCACTTACTGACCAGTTACTCAAGTGGCAAAATAACACATAGATGTTCTTTTCCTATTGGTTGGTTGATGAATAGAGGGGTTTGAAGGTTTACCCCTTTAACAACAGGTTTGTTTGATGATAGATGGTATACCAAACCGGCCCCTCTATTTTTACCAAAAGGACATTATTGAAATACCATGTATTTTGCAGAGATTTTATTAGTAGGACTTGTCCTGGATCGTATGGGGATTTTGATTGGATTGAACGAGATTTTGAAGTTCACATCCCAACAAAAATGGTGATTTAACCCGAGTTCTAACCACCAAACATCGGGATTTTCGCGACGGGGCCATTTGCATTGGCACCATTGAACGGATAATTAACAAGTTTTGGCCGTCCTCATTTTTGGGCTGTTGACAAACAATTATGGGGTCTCACTGAGTTATTCATCATCAAGATATGGATTTGAACCACCAAAACTGAGGTTCTAGCCTTTTTTGGTCACCATGATTTTAGACGGGCATCATACAATCAGTAAATAGGAATAATTAATAATAAATAGGATATATATATATATATGTATACATATTACATAATAGATATTATCTTGGTTCCATTGATGGGGATTTGAAACATGGGGGGTTCAGCCAACACTGTTATTATGGACAAAAAGGGGGTTTCACTGGTTTTCTGAACCATAAAGTATGGATTATAGCCAGCCAAAAAGTTTCTGGATGGGTTATTGATCATGAAATATGGATTTCAACAATTTTGTAGCATTGATAAATTGAGACAACTTATTCAAGCACTGTGGATCTAACACGCCCATTATATCATATGATTTGGTTAGTCTTTGGTGGTACAAACAGGTACAATCTGGCTGGTGGTTTCAAACATTTGTTATTTCAACACTATTTGGGATGATCATCAACATTGACTGATGCTTTTCAGCGGTGTCGAAACCACTATCATATTGTGGCCTGGGTTTTGGTCGAATATCTGGGTTTTGAATCGGGATACAACATAAACAGAGTGTTATCCAGGTTTGAACAAGAGCAAAGACATGGGAATACACGATGTACTGATATACAAGTATGCAGGCTTGATAAATGACGGTTTATTTTTTAAACACGGGGTCATCAACCTACCTTGTTTATTCGGGATTTGAAAGAACATCTGAAGCGAAGGCATAACATGGCATGACTTCAGTTTTCCCGGTGGGGTCCAAAAACCCTTCCGTATAGTTTTGGCTAACAGTTACACAGCACATTACACATCACTGGGTGATTACCCTCTGGTAAACTAACATAACTATGGAAAATCACCATTTTTCATGGGACAATCCATTATAAATGGTCATTTTCAATAGCTATTTTGACATTACCAGAGGGTATTTTTTCGCGTACTGAAACGTGCACACGAAGAACTCAGAAGATGTTGCGAGGTGTAGCGTAGCTGTAGCGGAATGGTTTGCCAGGTTCCTGCAGTCCACAGAAGGGCCATGGGTCTTTGCATTCAGAAACCCATGACGGATCCATGGTGCTGGTATATTAATGCTAACATAAAGGGGGTATATTAATGGGATCCATGTTACCATATATGGCAGCACCATGGATCCTATGGGAAATCAAAGATTTTTGGAATCCAAGGGTGATGCCTGTGTGATCTTTGGCCATGTGAGGCAATTGGTTTGACCTATGCATACCTATGCCAAATGGCAGCACACAGAAAGTTCACCTATGAGCCAAGAGTTGCCATATCCGGAAAAAAACACTATCTATCAGTTTTGAGAATTTCAACTTTTTGTTGTTAAACGCTTTTGTGCAAAAACAAACAATTACGACCCCTTTTTCCCCGCCGCCTGCGGTGCTTCGCCAGGCGTCTACTTCCGGCAGCAGAACAGTGATGACTCGAAGAGTTTGATCGACAGCTTCTTTTGTTCTGTGGACCATGCGCTGAATCTGCCACTCGGTTTCTGCTGGTGTCATGGTGTCATCGGTGTCACCATTGGTTTTTAGTCGGAGAAAAAAACCAAAGATTTGGGTTTAGGGTTTTGTTCCTTTCCAGAAATTGGGGTCTTGAGTCTCATATTTTTGTGGCCCGGCAAGTAGAAGAGCAAGAGGATGAAGGGGCAGAGATTTACAGCATGTAATGTATACTCGGCATTTTTTTGCAACACGTAGTACGTATAGTTCTTTTCTGAGACGTCGACAATTGCCAGTTGTGGTTGGGGGTTCAATTAAGCTACCCTCTAGGAATGTCAACTGTTACATACTTATATAGTTTATATTATACAAAATGAACAGTTGACAACATGTTTATAGTAAGTGACCAGCAGATAGATTTTTTCCCTCATTTTTGCCTTGGAGAAATCTGCGATTTCTAAGTGCTAGAAAAAAAACGGCTTAGAATCGTTTTATACGCATTTCTAACACATAGTTTTTTTTTTAACATGGGGGTACCCCAAAATGGATGATTTGGATTTTATGTATACATGGGGGTACCCCAAAATGGATGGTTTACATTGGAAAATCGTACATATAAAAATGGATGATTTGGGGGTACCACTAGGGGTTGATACAATTCTAAGTGCATGGTTATGATATGGCCTTCTAATTCTTAGTGCATTCTTATAATATCACTGCCGGCAATTCTTAGTGCACCGCAGCAATTCTTAGTGCACTCCCCAGGTATCACTGAGAAGCAATTCTAAGTGATTGTCGCACTGATTTACCGATTCTAACTGCCAATCACCTACTATATATGTTAATATGTTTATATACATACTTAATTATGTTTATTATATACAAAATGACATTCCTGTCTTGCCTGAGCATACGGGTTCAACCATTTTCTGTTATCCTCATTCTTCAATCTTTGTGTGTACCTGTTTACCTGGAGGAGCGGCATATATGACCTGCGATCATCGGCCAGGGTGGTTTTAGTCCAGCCCGAAGTGTTGCTATCCGATAGATATCCCCAATGGCTGGGACCTCGTGGCCAGAAATTGAGTGAAGAGGGAGTTGGGTCGATATCCTGAAGCCCTTCACCCGACTTCCAGGTTTAAACATTTCGAGATTCCATGAATAAATCTACAGCAACCTCTCCAGATTATGTTGGATTTGTCTGAAACTCGGTTTACCCGAAAAGAACCCTGTGGCTTCTCATCATTTTTCATTGACATCATAATTTTTGAGGTTTTCTCATCTTTTTCTCGTTTTCAGACACCTTTTTTTTCCATCGATTTCCATCGATTTCCACGGGATTTCCATGGAGAATTCCGATCGAAATCTCCAGCCAACCCCAACGATCCCCATTCCGCACAAGGCCTGACACGGAGTATTGGGAGATGGCGCTGAATGCCACCAAGGCGGACTTCCCCTTCGACACCTGGAGGGCCAACCTCTCAGGCACGGTACCCAAATTTTTACCATTTTTTTTTTAAGGAACCCCTAGATTTTTTTGGTGTTCACATTCAGTTGGTTGCCTTTGTTTTTTGGACATTTTCATGAGATTTCAGGATTTTAAAACATGTTGCATCATGGTTGGATTTAAAAACATGTTTCATCATGGTCAAGTTCATGGATTTTTCCGGGGAAATATTGCAGTATGATGTTTCGTTTTGGTGGAGAGTGGTGGGGACATGTCCCATGACGGACAAGAAATTCTGCCCCAAGATTGATGGAATCCGTCCCTCATGACATGGAGGTTTCCTAAGTCATGGGGGTACCCCTAGTTATCATCCATTTTCTGGCTGGTGGTTTGGAACATGAATTTTATTTTTCCCATCATATTGGGAATTTCATCATCCCAACTGACGAACTCCATCATTTTTCAGAGGGGTAGGTATACCACCAACCAGATTTTAGATTTTCGGATTTTCCTATGAAACAAACCATCCATTTTTGAGATAGTTCCGTGTCAGAAAACCCCAAAGATCCATTGAAATCATCGTTACTTTTGATCTGTGAATCACATAGATGTCCTTTTCCCATTGGTTGGTTGATTAATAGAGGGGTTTGAAGAAACCCCTTAAACAACAACAGGCTTGTTTGATGATAGATGGGATTAACCAGTCACCGGCCCCTCTATTTTTACCAAAAGGACATGATTGGTGAAACCCATAGGAACATCCATCATAATCCATCCCTCGCCGACGCTGAGGTTCTTACTCCAAGGCCATCACAAACTTCAAATCCTTCGCGGGGGAGGGCAATCTCCTCTTTGACGCACAGCAACACGCAGATGCTGGAACCCGCGTCCCTGGGACGTGAAAGGGTGGCTGGTTTGGGTTGCTGGGTGGGAGTTTATCTGGTTGGTGGTTTGGAACATTTTTTATTTTTCCATATATTGGGAATAATCATCGCAACTGACTAATATTTTTCAGAGGGGTTGAAATCTGGTGATCATATGTGATCATCCAATCAGATTCAATCAACCATCATTGTGGCTGGGGTTTGCTAGTGGGTGATGAGCAGACATTTGGGAAGATATTGGGAAGATATTGGAAGATCAAGAGATATCAAGAGCTGCAACTAACATCCGGTGGTTTCTTAAGGTCTTCCTCCACAAACTGGGGCTATCTGGGATGATGCGGTTGAACTGGAGACCCCCAATTTATCATGGGATTATCATGGGATGTTGGGGATGCTTTCAGACAAACCAAAATTAGCATATATGAGAATGTATTAGCATTGGTTGGGTTCACACCATTTTTTTTTGGGTAAACCATGGCAAAGCACCATATTTTGTTGGGGTAAAACATGGTGTACGCATCCAAACTTTATTGTTTTTTTACACAGTTCCCAGGTTTTTAGGTCAATTTCCTATGGGTTTACCCACCGTTTTGGTCACATTTTCCATGGTTTACCCATCTTTTTTTGGTATTCTCTCAGGTTTTTCATGGGTTTTAATGAAATTTACTAACCTTTCCATGGGTTTACCATGGTTTTTCATGGGTTTACCATGGTTTTCTCAGGTTTTCCCAGGTTTTTCATGGTTTTTACGAACCTTTCCATGGGTTAAAACGCCACCCCTCCGTCAGTTCGCCCAGGAAGTGCTGAACGAAGCCATGGCGCCGCGGAAGGCCACGGTGCTGCGACGGATGAGTTCCACCGCGCAGGTGGGGAAAATCCATGGCCGGAAAGCCATGGATCATTGAGAACTGATGGTTACCCTCTGGTGAACTAACATAGCAATGGAAAATCACCATTTTTAATGGGAAAATCTACTATTAATGGGATAACTGATGATCTGATGGTTAATAGTGATTAATAGTGGTTAATAGTGGTTAAATAGTATCAACTATAATAGTATAATAGTATTAACCATCAGTTGATAATAGTTGATAATTGATGGTTAATAGTGATCAATGATGAATGGTTAATATGGTACAGTATCCTGAAATTCCCATTGATTGGTTACTTAACTGATGATCAATGATGAATGGTTACTAAACTAATGATGATTGATTGAGAACTGATGGTTAATAGTATCAACCACTATTAACTGATGGTTAATAGTGATTAATAGTAGTTAATAGTGATTAATAGGCTAATGATGATTAATAGTATTAATAGTGATCAATGATGATGGTTAATAGTGATTAATAGTGATGGTTAATAGTGGTTTTCATAGGCTATAAACCAACAACTATATGGGAATATGATGGTGATCTGATGATCGATCTGGGTAAATTTGATCACGACCTCACTGTTCTCCCAAGCCCTGGAATGATGGGAATTGTAGCGGAAACAATGGGGAAATCATCCCCAAATGGCCGAACTATTCAGGTTAGTGAATTATTATAATTTACCCAGATTGATATGGCTGTAGATTATTGAAGGGAAATGAATGGAAGATGGGGATTTAAGATGGTTTACGATGGTTTAAGATGGCATATGGTTTAACAAATGTTTAACATGGATCGAATATGGTTCTAATATGGTTTAATATGGTTTGGCATATGGTTTGATCGTTGATATAGTGATATATATGATATAATGGTGATAATACAATGGTTATATATGTATATAATTACCTCTGGGAAGTACCTCTGGATTTTTACCATTAAATATTCCCATGATCATCGCCAACCAACTGGATGGCTAGTTTATTCCGTGAGTTTTTTTTTTGCTCTGAATTTGAAAATCACCACAACCAGCAAAAAAATATTTTGTGGACTATCACAGATTGACCATGAAAAGGGCAAGTTGTAGCGATTTATAATGGTATACAACCAACAATCGTGGGGGTATGGGGTATTAATGAATGGGACATTTCATGGCTTAATATGGTTTTATATGGTTTAACAGAGATATTCATGGGATGGGATTATGATAGGATACTAGCAACAGGAATGTTTCTATTTTCAATTTCATTCCATTTCTCCAAGTCTCCCAGTGAAATGTTCAATTTGTGTATCAGTGAAACGTAGATAGCCCATGATAGCCCTAAATTTCGATGCTTAACACTAGAATCGACATGAATCTAGGGTCCATGGACCTGAGCAGTGTTCAAAACCCAAGATGTCGTCCCTGCGCATGGTCTCGGGGGTGTGATACTGCTCGGGAACGGATTTTCCAGCAGGGTGATCAGCCCCAAGTTTTTGGGATAAGCCCTACAATCATCAACCATCATTTACCCTCTGGTAATTTGACATAGCTTTTGAACATGGCTCATTAACAGATGATTTACCTATTCCAAATGGTGATTTTCCAGTTCGCTATGCTAAATTACCAGAGGGTATCAACTGTCTCCCAATGATATCTCCAGCCACCCTGGGGCCGATCCACAAGGTGAAGCATCCATAGGGATAGATGTTGGTAAAGCAACAGGATCCACCCCAACTTTACCGTATTATGCGCTATAAACCATGAAACTATGGATGGTTTATGAGTCTATGACATTGCTAACCACACATTCATTGGTTTACAACCAACTATCATTTTTGTTGGGGATTTTATCGGGAATTCTCAACAGCGTAAATTGAACAATCTTAGTTTAACGATTAGAGTAGATCTGAAGATCTTGGCCACTTGAGTCGGGAAAGTGATGATGATTAGCCGCAGGGTTTCACTTTTTTTTAAAGACACACTCAGTTGAACAAAGGATACCCTCTGGTAAACGTTTACATAACTATAGAACATCACCACTTTGAATAGGTAAATCAACTATTTCAATGGAAAATCACCATTTTTTTATGGGAAAATCCCCTATTTCTATGGAAAATCACCATTTTTTTATCGGTAAATCAACTATTCAGCTATGTATGTTCACCAGAGGGTAGCTGGTTGGTGCTTTCGCAGGGTGCAACCCTCTAAAATCGGACTCTCGGACTTCGCCAGGAGAATACCCAGCAAAACAATGGCATCACCACCATCCTGTTAAACTAATATACACTGGTTGGTGGTGACTGGAACATGAATGGATTATGACTTTCCCATCATATTGGGAATGGAAAATCATCCCAACTGACGAACTCACTCCATCATTTTTCAGAGGGGTAGGTATACTACCAACCAGTATATATATAATATAGATAGAATGTGATATCATATAGATGTGTATATATTTAATATAATATAGATATAATGTTTTATCAGATGTGGAACCCCCCGGAAATGCAGATCATTTTCCCTCATGGATTTCCGCATGGCTAAACCCATGGGTTTTCCACATCTCTTTGGAGTGCCAAGAACTGGGAGCTACGTATAATAGATAATATACACATCTAGGATTGAATATATCTATATACGCACCTTTTAGATCCTTTTAGTATATATACAGTTGTATACAATACTAGATTGTTCTAAATACCTATATAGAATGATATATATATACACATGATATATACCGATATACAATTACCTATATACGAATATAGTGATATACGCCTATAATATATATATATATATATTGTACACATCATATAGATATCTAACATATCTTGTCCTAGCGGCCTCGCTAGGTGGCTCATCAGATGCGTATTTTGGTGTCTCGACTTTTTCGAAGATCGTGTCCGGGGATTCCCGTGGGGTCTTAACCAACTAAAATGACGGTTGAACGGCCAACTAAAATAACTGACAAACATGGGGGGATGATGGGGATGCTTTTGGAGAAAAGGGTTGCAAGTTGGACAATTGACGTGTTAACTAGATTCCACTTGGATCAATAGAATTCGATCGTGATTAGTGAGTCTAATTGGAGAATAAGGATTGTCACTGGATGCTGAGAAGTATAAGGGGCTCATGAGAACGAGTCGGAGTGACGGGATATGAGTTCACCATTTGATTCTCGTTAGACCTTTGCAGTTTGAATGGGAAAGATGATGATAAACATTTTTTGGGGCAGAGTGATATGAGGGGTCTGAAAATTGGGACGCGCAAAACTACTGACCTGAAAAACATGTAATGTTGGCAAAGCAATAATACATAATCCACCCTAATATGGATGGTTTATAGCACCCATTTATGAAAAAAATAGGGATGGGTTACCCTCTGGTAATTTAACGTAGCTATTGAACATGGCCATAGAAATAGTGGATTTTCCCATTAAAAATGGTGGATCTTTCCATAGCTTTTTGTACGTTTACCAGGCCGGGTATTCTTGCTTTACCATTCGCAAGGAATCCCATGGAGTTGATGGAACCCAGTTTCGGTATCATGGGAATCCGGTACTCAAGACACCAAAAACCAAGGAAGTCGGAAATCTATATACTGTAACTTATAACATTGAGGAGCCTATGAATAGTCGTCTAGTTTTTGTTATATCCACGCATGTTTGTTGGTTGTATCAACATTTTTCTTGTGAGTTACATCAGCTGTCCCTAAGACATCTAAGACTTGGATCTTCTGGATGAATTTCCATGAATTTCCCATTCAAAACGTTGAACAAAGACGCATTGTTTTTTTGGACATGGCGAAAAATCATGAGTTCGACCATAGGATTTTGAAGTGCCATATTTTTAGACATTTGGGCTGGTCTTTTTTCCAGGTTGGATGGATAGATCCCCCATTTGTCATACATCTTCATATCTTTTTCCGCCTAAGACCTCAAAGTGTTGGATGTCGTCTTCATGCAGAGCTAGAAGATCGGAATGAATGGGTTTTGGAACAAATCCATCCCAACAAAATTCCCCATGATATATATATATAATATATTATATATATAATATTATATATATATTATATATATATTATATATATATTATATATATACTATATATATATATATCTATATATACTATATATATATATATCTGGGTAAATTATAACGACCTCACTGTTCTCCCTCACTGGAATAATGGTTAGTAAGGGAAATTATCCCCAAATGGCCGAACTATTCAGGTTAGTGAAATATTATCATTTACCCAGATAGATAGATAGATAGATAGATAAGATAGATAGATAGATAGATAGATAGATCGATAGATAGATAGATAGATAGATACATAGATACATAGATACATAGATAGATAGATAGATACATAGATAGATACATAGATAGATAGATAGATAGATAGATTAGATAGATAGATAGATAGATAGATAGATACATAGATAGATAGATAGATAGATACATAGATAGATAGATAGATACATAGATAGATAGATAGATAGATACATAGATAGATAGATAGATACATAGATAGATAGATAGATAGATACATAGATAGATAGATAGATAGATAGATACATAGATAGATAGATAGATAGATACATAGATAGATGGATAGATAGATAGGTAGATAGATAGATAGATACATAGATAGATAGATAGATACATAGATAGATAGATAGATAGATACATAGATAGTTAGATACATAGATAGATAGATAGATAGATAGATACATAGATAGATAGATAGATACATAGATAGATAGATACATAGATAGATAGATAGATAGATACATAGATATATAGATAGATAGATAGATAGATAGATACATAGATACATAGATACATAGATAGATAGATAGATAGATACATAGATAGATAGATACATAGATAGATAGATAGATAGATAGATAGATAGATAAATAGATAGATAGATAGATACATAGATAGATAGATAGATAGCTAGATAGATAGATAGATAGATAGATACATAGATAGATAGATAGATAGATACATAGATAGATAGATAGATAGATAGGTAGATACATAGATAGACAGATACATAGATAGATAGATAGATAGATAGATAGATAGATACATAGATAGATAGATAGATAGATACAAAGATAGATAGATAGATAGATAGATACATAGATAGATAGATAGATAGATAGATACATAGATAGATAGATACATAGATAGATAGATGCATAGATAGATAGATAGATAGATGGATAGATAGATAGATAGATAGATATATATAGACATACATATATATAATATATATCATATATATCCCCTTTAAATATCCCCATGGAAATCTCCACAACCTTCCGACGCAAAATCGAGGACATCGACGAGGACGCGGAGTTCCTGACGCAGCCGGTGAGCGACGACCGCACTCACGAGCTGATGAGGGTAGCGAAGCGAAACGGATGGGCCAACGGTGGTTTAATGGTGTTTAATGGTGTTTAATGGGATTTTAATGGGATTTACTGTAATGGGATTTAATGGGATTTTAATGGGATTTAATGGGATTTTAATGGGATTTAATGGGATTTTAATGGGATTTAATGGGATTTAATGGGATTTATCAGGATATATGATGGTATACCCTCTGGTTATGTCAAAATAACTATGGAAAATCACCATTGAAATAGTGGATTTTCCCATTAAACATGGTGGATCTTTCCATAGCTACGTTAAATTACCAGAGGGTATCGTCCAATATAGCCTATGGAAAATCAACCATGTATAGATGTACTTTTGAACATGGTCACTATGAAACACTGTAAATGATGGGATTATAACGGGGTAGTATAATTATAGTCCACATGGAGGTTTCCAAACATGGTGGTACCCCAATAGCTGGATGGTTTATAAGGGAAAATCCGAAAATAACATGGATAATAACTAGTAACTAGGGGTACCACCATTTATGGAAACCACCATGTACCCTATGGAAAATCGGCCATGTATAGATGATGTACTTCTAAAACATGGTGTTTTTCCATAGTTGTTTCAATGGGAATTCCAGGATCCTAAAATGGAGGTACGTTAGTACCATATTTTTGGCCGTATTTTGGGGGTAGATCTCCTTACATAGGCCTGAAAAATTGGCCTTATATATAGAATCGGTACCCCCATTTTAGGATCCTGAAATTCCCATTGATTGTTTGTATGGTTACCGCAGGATGATCATGAACCAACAAGGGGTTTTGAACACTTCTCAGATGGGTGTAATGGGGCTATAGGAGGGGTTAACTATAAACATGAACTAGACTATTAGTTATATGGCAGTGTGTCAAAACCTTGTACCCCTGGTGGACATGAAAATAGCTGGGATTTATGGATGTTCATCCCACTAAAAATGGTATTAATAGGTATTGATCCATACCCATATATTTGTTATATATCGGAATTAACATAAACTCATGAAACTATGACTATGATTGATTATGTTAATAAGAACCAGTTATCATTAACTATATATCAATAGGCATCACGGTATAACTAATGATTTATGTTATAATAATTAATAACTTATTACATAACTATAGTTATAACCAATTATGATTGATACCCTGTTATGTATTGGATAGTTAGGTGATTCCTGGGGTTAACCGGTTTAAAACTGGGCTTCTAACTGCACAACATCATGGGTCATCACCCAGTCACAAACTAGTTGACTGATTCCATGGCCCATCTAAGTAAACATGAGAATGGATAATCCTCAAAGAACATCAACTATCCATTTCCTCCATAGAAATGATATGTTAATATATGTTAATGGACGTTCCTTGCACTCCACGTGCGTTTTTTTCCTGACGACAGGAAGCGATCTTCCAGGGTCAAATGAAGGGCAAGGTGAAGGATGCGGAGCAACTGCAGAGTCAGCCACTGGGACGTTGGTTTTTAGTCACGTGGGAGGCTCCGAAAGTCATGGGGAACCCCAAGTTCTCATCCCAAGGAACCTGGCTATGGATCAATAGCTATAGATACAATGGATGTTAGGGGGTGAACATCCATAAATTTACCAGATATTTTGATGTGAACTACGGGAGTACAGGGTTTTGACCCATCCCAAGATGAGTGGTGATGGTTTTTGGGGAAACCACGGGACAGTGTGACAGGGGTACCCCACTCTTCATCTTCGCTTGGCCATGCGAAAGTCTGAGACAGTCTGATAGCCTCTGGTGTTTTTTTACGTAGCTATGGACAATCACCATTTTTAGTAGGAATATAAATATATACAGTATATACCCAAGACTTCCAAGAGATGTTCTTTTAACATACGTTGTTGCAAGAGACGTTTCTGGCGGGAGAGACGTTTATTATAATATATTAAAATCACACCATATTTCCCGATAATTGGCTAGTGCAGTGCTCTTTTTTTACCTTCGCCAATTCCGCTTCCACTGCTGCTTGACTGATCGGTTCAACCTTAGATGATCAGAAAACAGAACCATCATTTTCAAAATTTTCCAAACACCACGATTTCCAGCACACTCAAAATTTCACATCCACTAGTTTGTAAAACCCATGATGAAAGAAATTAAGTAGCTTTCTGATTCTCGTTTTCATCGCAATTAATCGCATCTTCATCACGTACATCACCCAACGTGTGCGATGTAGTGCATGGGCCCGAAGTGCAATACCTAGGAAGAAAAACCCAAGCACCACGCACATATACACACGCACCATGCCATAAGTCCACAAGGCATCCCTGCTGCTTTGTGGTGTAAAATTTCAGACTTCAGCGCGTTTGACACAGCAAAAAACAAAATCGGCCAAAGCGCATTTCAAGTGCTTCATTCCATCTTCGTCTTGGAAACAATGGAAGAATCGGAAATTCTTCCTCCGGTGCCGAGCATCACGGCACATATGAAGCACCAACTCAGTAGGCCAGGAGCCGGCGCCCATTTGCACAAGAAAGAGTTTGTCATCAACTGGCTGATTGAAATCCCGGCTAGCAACTATACACACAATTTCCAAATGCAGCTTAGTTGCGTGCACCTTCGGCCGGAGACGGAATTCATCGATCCCACGCCTGCCAGGCACAACCAGGGGTGCTCGCAGAAACATGTGGGAAACCACACTGTACCAAAAATATTGCCCACAAAGGCACAATTTTCCTAGCCTGGTGGCATCCAAGCAAAGGGCAAGATACCGTTTGCAAAACAAACGGCCAGAAGCATACAAAATTTCACCTTGATCTTGACTCAGAACCCTGGGGAACCGTTCGCTTGATCCGAGGAATCTCGCACCAGCTGACCTAGGCTACTAGGCCCAGCATCAAAAATTTCACATGTTCAGGAAATAAATCACTTTGCATGCAAGGGGTAGATTTACCCCAGATGTGGCGAAAGTAATGAATCAAGGCACGCACAAGAGGCCAAAAGTGCTAGTCTGGAGTCGTCCATGTGGCTTCTGGCAAAGTCAGTCATGCACCTGCTAATCCACTCAAGGATGACCCTGCCGTTGTGCGCTTTGGCTGTCCATGCCACTCGGCCACTCTTCTTCAAAACCTCATGTTAGAATGTTTTTTTTGATTCAAGCCGCTCAAGCCCACAGTTTCCATTTAAAAACAAAATGAAAGACATATTGGGAGGGCAAGGGGCGTGGTATGTTTTAAATCGGGGCTGTGAGTTCGCGATATTCTCCCTCTTGCAAAAGTTCCGGAAATTCTCGAAAGCCAAATCAAATTTGCCTTGCAAACTGTCCGCATCGCCAAAATAATTGGCATTGCAGAGTGCCATCCTTGTTTGACCAAAGCTGCAGCAACAAAAGCTGATTCAAATTGCTTTGGCCCTAGCTGACTAGCTGGGTTTAAAATCTTCAAAGAAATTGTTCTGTACTCAGCAAAGTTTCATGCACGATCCATTTATGTCAAATAAGATGCCAAGGTTGATCGCATGCATGGAGCACGGTTGGAGGATTGATGGGTGAAACCCATGGAGCAAAATGAAAGGGCCTCAGTGAATGGAAGCAATTGAGTTGGGAGAAGAAAGCTGGATGGCGAAGAGTATCTGGCTACCAAGCACATCACTGGAATCCGGAATTCAGCCCACCCCTCCCTGTTCTTGTCGAGAGACAAGGGTCAACAACGCCCGCCATTTGATTTGCCAAGAACCCTTGCAGGTCGTAGTGGTTCCACTTGGGGTTCTCATCCATGCAGTAATATAGCATGCCAGGGTCACCAGCAGACCGGCCTTTCGCATCACACAAGAAGCAGACTGTCTTCAAGTTTTGCCAGCTGGAAACGAATCGCATCGTCAACTTATGCCATTGCCAGTCACCTTTGAGTTCAGTGACCACAAATTTTCGGCCGCCAGCCAGAAACTTTGAATTGTCATCAGGGTCCACGCCATTGAACAGCAGGTTGGCGGAGTAGACAAACCGCTGCAAGACATAATGCATGGTGTGGTGACCGTAGAGTTTGTGTTCCTCCAAGGCAAACAGGCACCATCGCCCATTGCGTGCACTTTTTGGTCGCCAAACTGCTGGGAAGGTAATAAATATCCCAACAATCTTGGTGCCATCATCATGTATCTTTGCAGAATCACCATAGAAAGCAAACGGGATATGATCCCGGCTGGCCGGGCTGGCTACAGCCCAATCTTCCTTCAGCTCGTCCCTGTGCACCCTCCAGTATTCATGAACACGGGCCACAGGAATATCTACACCAACCTTGGTGATCAATGCGTCCATCAGTTTGTGCGGCTCTATGATTTGAACCCTGCGCATCTGGTATCCGTTCTGGGATTTCTCATTCTTGACCGGGATGTCAATAGAACTCAGTTCCTAAGCTGATACGCAGCCACAAATTGATTTCAATTACATGCTCAAAATCGGTACATGTGCCAAACCAAACTGCACACGTAGTAAGCCTGTGCAAGCGTCAAAATCGAGCTTGGCCGATCTCAAAAAATCGCGTGCAGAATTTCTGCCTCGGTGTCCTGACATTTGGCCCAACCGCCGGCTCACTGGATGGCAATGTCCATGAGAATCCTCGCCGGTGCATGTGCGTGGTGCTTGGGTTTTTGTATATTATATGGGGAAAATTATGTATCATACTGTATCATGTATTATACTGTATCATGTATCATGTATAATACGTACCATTTACATTTTTAAACAAATCATAATAGTACACATGTGCACGTGACTGGCATCAACCAAAACATGGTGTGGCGCATATCTCAAAACACATATATCGAATCATATCGATATAAACCTTCGGTGCCTCCAAAAACTTAGTGATTTCCAATAATCCTACAATATCCCGTGGTGTAGATCCAAAACCCCTGTAAGCAGGTAATCGGTCCCATGTTATATTGGCCTCATTTGATTTTTTAGTGGTCCAAAATAATCATCTGATAATTCCCTTGGAGCAGATGTCAGTGCCATGGCCACTGACTGGCCTCGACGTGGGCTTTGGCCTGCTTCATTGCTTGGCGAGCGCTGCTGGCCTCATTAGTGCGAGGGTTGTGCTGGACAAAAGGGAGTTTAGATACTAATATAGTATAGTATATAATATACTAGGTACATGATAACCAGGGATAACCAGAGATAAAGTAGACCGGGCTGGTAGGTAATGTGTTTTAAATTCTTGTGCATCACAGGGATCAAATGTATATTATTTTTATGATTTTTTTGGGGGCAGCAGCCTCTATACTTTCCAAACCAAGAAATAAACCATCCAGAACTACCCAGGGGTACCCAATACTTGGTTCGCAATTGCAATTGGTTGCATTAAAATCCAAGTCACTCCAGATTGCACATCATCCACCAAATTTGTGAAAAAGGGTCCGTATTCGTCAGGGTCTTGATGTTCTAAATCATCACCTGCGTGGTGGAAGGGTGGCACTTTGGGTGAAACTTTGATAAACTTTGGATAGGGAGCGGAATGTTTGTGAACCATTGTGAACCCATTGTCAACCCAACTCAGCTGTGTTGATTGATTTTTTTTCCCTTGATTTCTCTTGTTTCGCCATGTTCACACAGTGGGGGATATATGTGCTACCATCAAAGCACCCCAAGAGAACTTGTGGAGTGCCATACCATGCACCCAGACGCCATCTCGAAGCTACCACCCACATACAGTACATTTTTTTTAGGTGTCAGGGAGGTATGCAATGATTGATTCAACTCATGAATTCGTGGAGAATGCATTGCAAAGTATGGTAGCCTCTGAGCTGGCTGAGCTGACCCCCAACGTTCTCACCAAAATAAAGCTAAAATGGGCCGCACATGCCCACTGCCACTAGCACAGCGTTGCTTCTTGAAATCTAAAATTGATTTATTTCAGATGGTCTTCCATGCAACAACCTAACACCACAGAGAAATAATTGTTGAAAAAAAATACAAACCATAAAATGCATTTTTATGGTGTTTGACAAATGTTTCAAGGGTGCAGTTGAAGCAGCTAAGGAAGCATCGACCACCTGTGACTTGCAAAGTTCTTGCCTTGCAAGCCATGTCCCTTGGACGCATGAAACAAAAACTGCCCGCTAGAATCGCACGCTTTCTAAGAAATCAGCGTAGGCATCCAGGGCAGCCTGACCTTTTGCCCTCAGCTTCTCTGTCGTTTTCTCCTGAAACTTGCATTTTTTTTGGCAGGGAGTTGCATGGGTGATGAGATCTGCCATGATGAACTTTCATAAGTATCAAAATTTATAACATATTACCAAAACTTCAGACATGAGTGGGTCAGTTAAGTGCAGAAAAAATGGGAAGAACACCTAAAGCCCTTGATTGGTCCTCGAACTGGTCCAAGCTCGATTGCAGCTTATCTCGCACAGCTTGCAACTTTGAGCGCTCACTTTCAAGATTTTTGGTCACAGCTTGGCTAAGATCAGCCGACCTAGATGGCAGGCACCAGGATCATCAACCAACCCCAAGGTGAATTGTTGAACTCAGCCCCCCAAGGTCCGATTCCCATCTCATAGATTTTATTTTTTGGAGGATATGTCGCAGGTTTCATTTCTTGTAAAAAAAATCATATACATCCAGGGTTTACTGACCAAGGGGCAGTTTGGCCAAAGCTTTCTTTTCTCTTTCCACTGTGTCACGGATCTTGGTTGTGAGCTGCGATAGCACCTAGCGTTGTTGAACTAGCTAACACAACTAGTGAATAATCGGAAGCCCATTCCATGCATTAACAAGTTCGATTCATAAATGAATGTTTGGAAGATCGTGGAAGTGCACCTTCCTAGCAGCCTGTTGCTTCTCCCTTTGCTCCTTCCTGGCTTTCGCCTTCTCTTCCCTCTCCTGTTCTTTCTTCTTCTTTGCTGCTTCCCGCTTCTTCTTTTCTTCTTCGGTTTCAGCTGTCTTGCCCTTTGCTTTGCTCTTTTTGTTCTTCGATTCACCTTTTTTTCCATTGGCTTTCTTCCGCTTGTTCTTGCTGCTTTTCTTCGTTGGTTTCTTTTTGACTGGCTTGCTCTTCGGCTTGTCTTCAGACTCTTCGCTTTCTTCTTCAGATTCGTCGGTGCTGTCCTGGCAAGCGAGGTTGATTCTGAACAGCAACATCCTTCTGAACCCCGTGTTCACTCAATGCAGGGCTTGGCATTTGATCGGCTAGACGCTTGGCCCACAGGAACCTGAGAGAGAGAGAGAGAGAGTGTGTGTGTGTGTGCACATGAGGTGGTTCTAAGTTAGAAATTTAATATAGGTCCTATTTGGTTAGATGGTTTGATTACCGCCCAAATGAATCATACATTGCATTAATTTTCATAGCAATCAACCCTTGGTTGACGAAAAACAACAAGGTGGGTCCTCAGAATCTGAAGTTGGGTCTCTTGATTTGCGGTCTTTTTTTGAAGACTCATCATATGCCGTGTGGTCGTTGCTCAGAACGGTTGAGTCCAAATGCTCTTCACTTTCCTCATCCCACACCAGAAAGAGGACTAAATCCTGAGCTGCAGGGCTGTAGGAATAATTGATGGACTCAATGTTGGGTTAAATAAATTATAAATATTTCAAAAAAGCAAATGGACATGCTATGGAATAAGATCAGGGGCCTCTCTGTTGGGCAGATCTGGGTGTGGCTTACGATGATGGGAAAACTCTGGCTGCATTTTGCTTTCTACGATTTCATCCGCTATTGAGGGGTCTTCGTACTTGCGTGCTATCTGAGCTTTCGTCATCCATCGCCTGGCGCCTCTCCTGTTCTCAGTTGTTGTCGAGCGAAGAGACACAGCCCAAGAGGACTGTCGCCAGTCCTCACCACAACTCAACCATTTCTCGTAGATCTCTTGCATGGCCGATTGTCCTTACAGCGGTTTGGGTTGATATCTGTAAAATTTTAAAACATTTTAAAAAGATGCACATGCTTTTTCAAACATGTGATGGGCTGGATTCTACAGGATATATTCAATTATTCCTGGAACGACTTGTTTTTTGATGTTTGTAGAAATGTTGTCAAAAGATGTCAAAAGATAATATTAATTACCATTCTACGCATCCACACTGTGTGATCCGAGGAAATTACATGCAGCAGCCGAGCAACGATCGCTGCTGCTCTTGGCCTTTGCAATGGCATCTTTGAGAGCGTCGCTGTTTCTTGGACCTCGAGTGGAAGGATGTTTGGGAGGATGGTGGTATATGGTGGTTTTTTTTTGATGGCGACATTTAAGAAAATGAATATCACACAAGTCAAAAACAGAACTAAAAACATGTCTCTGCAATTCCCTGCAGTATGATGTGATTTGGATTAATTTGTAATTACTTGGTACCATATTGATTTTGGAGCCGTTTTTGTTGGCAAACTGCTGAGACCCCAGCTTGCGAGAGACCGGTAGAATCTGCCCTTCCTTGCTTTGTAGACCTTCATCTTATCCCTCTTCTCTTTCTCCTTTGACACTTGCTGGTCAGCACTTCTACCTTCGGGCTCCGCAAGCTCAGCCGTGTTAGCTCGCAAGATCTGAGCCGGGGCTGGTGCCGTATTTGACTCATCCTGATTTGTGTCATCCTCCTCTGTGTCATCCGTCTTTTGCTTGCGCTTCTGCTTTCCACCATTAGCCGTGTCTTCCAAATCTTTGGGTTGTTTCTTCTTTCTTGTTGGTGGCTCATCTTCTGCATCTTCATCTGCGTCTTGCTCTGCGTCTTGCTCTGCAGCATGTGTCTTCTTCTTGGTCTTGCGCGTCAACTTCTCCTTTGACGTCTTCTCCTCAACCATCTCCGTCTCCTTATCTTTCTTTTTCTTTGCAGCCTTTGGCTTCTCAACCTCTGCATCGCCCTGTTCATCCTCCTCTGCGTCAGTTGCTTCCTTGCTGGTCTTGTTGCCCTTCTTCATCTGAGCATTCTTCTTTGCTCTCTTTGGCTGATCATCTCCGTCCTCCTCTGCATCATCCGCCTTTCTCTTCACCGCCTGCTGATCCTTCTTGCTGGTCTGAGCTTCACCTCCCTTTGAAACTCTGTCGGCTGCTTTCTTTGACCGATCATCCTTTGCATCGTCAACAGCACGGGTTTTTCGTTGCTTGGTTTTGTTTTCCTTCTCCGTGTCTTCAGCTTCTTCTCCAACCTCATCTTGTGCCTTGTCTTGTTTGACCCTGTTCTTCTTCGGTTGCTTTGCTTTGCATGCCTCATCCTCTTCTGCCTCCTCATGATCCTCATGCTTGGATTGCTTCTCAATTCTTCCAGTCTTGCCTTCAATCTCTTTGAGATCCTTGCCTTTCTTCGTTTTTGCCTGTGGCTGTTCCTCTTCTGCATTCTCAACGGTTGCCTCAGTCTTTGTACGTTTCTCTTTCTTTTTCATCTCTGGTGCAACCTTCTCCTCAGTCTTCTCAGCGGTCTTTTCTGTAGTTCGTGCCTTCTTACTTTTCTTCGGTTGAGTCTCCTGAAGCTTTTGTTTTTTCTCCTTTGGGCCAGCGCTTGAAGCCGAGTACTTGCCCTCCTCTTCTTCGTCCTCCTCCTCTTCTTCCTGGCTTCTGTTGCTTTCCTTGGAAATCTTTCGCTGCTTTGACTTTGTTTCGTTGTTCTCCACCCCAAGGTCTTCTTTGCTTTTTGCCTTTTTTTTCTTTTTCCCCGAATTCTCCTCTTCTGGAACTCCATTTTTCATCCTCCACTTTTCCAGCTTCCATTGCTCATCAGGATCTAGATAGTCTTGAGTAGCAGAACGATCCCTTGAAATGCGTTCCTTTGGAGTTGCATCGGTTTTGACGACAACTTCAAGCGCATCTCCTTCCTTCCATTCTTCATGGCCTTTGCTTCGTCTTCTCACTAGCTTTGCGGTTTCTTCACAGGCCTCCTGACTGGGGGTCTTCCAGTCCGAGGCTGTGATCTCGGACGCCAACTCAAAATGTGGTTTTTGAGCATCACCTTTCAATGCAAACTTGTCTAGTTTGCTTTCTTTTGTCTGGGCCTTCTTTCGGTCTGGGTGAGTATGGGGAGTAGTGCTGGCTGGTTGCACATTGTTTTCCTTCTCACTTCCAAAGGAAAGCTTCCTTTTTGGGGTGACCAACTCATGCTGATTAACTTCGAATGCCGTCTTGGAACGCTTCCGGGGCAGTTTTGCACCTGCACAATGGATATGAGATTTCGGGGTTGGGGTTAGTCGTTAATTTTGCTAAAAGCAAAAACATTGTAATCCAAAAACCATTTCCACCGGTGATGTTGCTCGGTTGGTGTGTGTGTGTGCATGCATGTGTTGGTGGGCTGGTGGAGCTCCCAATTCTCATCACCCCAAGCTACCTTCACCGTTTGTAGATGGAGTCGGCTTATCTTCATCTTCAACATGTTTCTGGTTGCTCCTTGCAACAGGGACAGTAACTAATCGACGATATCGATATTACAAATATGATGATCATTCATGTCATTATTATATGGATCGATCATATCTGCTACTAATATTTTTTTCCTTAATATTATCGATCTGGCTCTGCATGTGCATGTGGGTATTATATGATATTATAGTTTTTAAATTAACATAACAATAATATATCCTGTATATATTTGGTTCATCAAACATTTAAAAACCCTGTGGCTTGATAGCATCATCCCCCACTAACCCAATCCTGACGGTTTCCGATTCATCAGGTTCTGTCAGCTGGCTGTCCGATGCTGGCAACTGTGCACAAGCCCTTGCCCTTCGAAGCTTGGCAGCTTCCAAAAATTTGGAAGCCATGGCGGCTGTGGGCTGGGTCGGCGGCACACGGCCCTCACCACCCTGAATTGGTTGAAAATAATTATATTATATATAATTTTTATGATTATGGATTATTGTTGGCGACAGGATGGAAATAACACTCCCGGTTCCCAAATGAGACATTCGGGGCCCAAAATGAAACATGATAAAATCATTGACATGCCTGCATCAACCTGGTCGTGCGGGCTCCAAATGGCAGCAACAACGTAGCTGGTCAATTTTTGGTCATTTTTGAGGGGTCCCGTTCCACGGCAAAAAACGAGCGTTCTATGGTGATAAATGGTCGTTCTACGGCAGAAAACGGGCGTTCTACGGGTTGTCTACGGTTTGTCTACGGTTGCTCTTGATCCTAGTGAATTTTAATTTCTGGTGGTTTGGCACCCAAAAAACTGTGAAATAATTCAGCAAACATCACCCTAAATTCCTGATTTGTCTATGGTTTGTCCGTGATTTGTCAATGGTTTGTCAATGGTTTGTCTATGGTTTGTCCGTGGTTCCCTGTCTATGATTTGTCTATGGTTTGTCTATGGTTTGTCTATGGTTTTCAGTCTATGGTTTTCAGTCTATGGTTTGTCTATGGTTTGTCTATGGGTTGTCTATGGTTTTGCCCATAGTCCCATGGAATCATCAAATTTCCCCAAAAATCTTGCAATCGCAATCCATCGTGATTGTTTTCGAACTATCAGCCCCAAGTTCGCTCTACCGGCCTGCAGTGGCCTGCATGTATAACATATCGGCCATGCACCACCACACCAAAAGCAGGGAATGATGTGGTCACATTGGGCTAGGCCAAAGAAAAGCTACCAATTACAAATTGCAACTCGGTTGATCCTGGGTGTACAAGATCTAACCTGGCCACCAAAAATTGGAGTGGTCTGTAATTTAAAGCCCACCTTCAATGATGGGTTTGTAATTGCCTCGGGCAATTTCCTCCTTCAGAAACAGCCTGACGCTGTCCAATCCCGCATGCTTCCAGTTCAATGGAGCCTTGAAAGACACCTGAGCACAAGTGCTACAGTTTGCTAAAAATGGTGGATGTGATACGATGTGATGGGATTTTGAAACTTTTTGAGCTAGGGTTATCGACTTGACTTTTTGAGCTTGCCAACTAATCAATCCATTCAATTGTGCAGTTTGGTCAACATTGGTCAACTAGATCTAGAATACAATCTTAAAGGTTTATCCAATCAAAATGCACATGAACCCCATCATAGGTGGTTTGGTGGGGATCAGCAGCGATTATTTTCTGATCTTTTTACAGTCTCATTGCAGCCTGAGCTGACTCATCTGAGGACCCCAGCGTTTGGATCAAAGTCAGGAGTTGCTCGTCGGCATGGGTTCTCCTGGGCCAGGACGAAAAGAGGGGACTTCTATTTGAATTGGGGGACCGACCGATAAGCAAAAACATCTGATCACGTGTAATGTTTAATATATAATATCTAATAAAATTTTGGTTTATTTTTGTACAGCCTCCATCCAACCCATTCCCACCACACAGACTCCTTAACAAAGCGTTGGTGATACTTGCACACATTCGTTCCAAACCTCTTTGGGTAAGCTGATGACTTTTTCAAAAATGGTCCACCAGACCTGGGCCCAAGTTGAATGAATACACATAATATGGTGGGTTTGGTTTTGACATGTGTTGACATCCATGGCACAATTTTCTGTGTTGAAAGCAGTTCAGTGGTTGAGCATACACACTGGGCAGCACACACACTGGTTTTGCCATTCTTCATACGTTTCTTCACCATGGTTACCTGTTTGGCTGTTTTGGCAATTCGTGCCCTCATAGCCTTTGTCATTTGCCGTCGAAGCTTCGATGCAAATGGCCTTGGTTATATCTATCACATGAATTCTATCAGGCATGTTGGGTTTGCTGAGAGATGTTTGTTTCTATTCATCAAGTATTATGATGATACAATATATGCAGTACAAAAACCACACTTTGAAAAACAATTGTCGGCCATTGCCCCATAAATACTATTCGATACCATAGTTATATTAGCACAAAAAGGGCGCATAGCAGTACAATTCTGATCAAAGATGAGGGCAGCACGCAGTTCCCCATAACTGTGTGGGCTTCATGGTCATGGCGCCATGTGCTCCCATGTACCTGATCAGTCCACAAGAACGAAATTATTGACGCTGTTTCGCGGCAACTATGCATCCAATTTTATACAAAATCATGACCTTTCGTTACTAGTACCAAGGAAAACTCCACAACCAAGGAACAGAAAAGTGTCAAACCAGGACAAGCCAAACTTCTTGACGACTCGGATGACAAACTTAATGTAAGGCAAATGCTTCATCACCGAGGAAACCGGCTGTTCTGTTATGTGGAACAGCTGCCGGGCCATACACAGAATGAGCAAAAGTGCCCATCGACATGTCAGCCTCAGCCCCATCAAAATACAGCAAACAGAGGGAACTCAAAAACACTTAGAAAAAAACGAAACATGCACAGCAAAAGCCCGCAACCCCATCACAATATAGGGGGCTTCTGGTTCTGAAATTGCAATTTGTGCAATAAAAACGACTTACAAGTGATCGATATCTAGAAACTGGTTGGCCAAGTTGACATAACTGCGAGACGTGTCACCAAATGGGGCCTTTTTGCTTCTCTTGCTAGTAGCAGAATTCAACCAAATGAAACTTGAGCAAGGAGGTCCACCAAAGACCAATGCTGAAGGCTTCCCACGGAGCACATACTGCACTGCTTGGCACAGGCCAGCCCTGGCAGAGTCACACAATATTGAATTGGTTTGATCCATAGCTGTCATGTCAACTGGCTTAAGAAAAGTGGTTGGGAAAGACAGAATGGCCATCATAATCGATTTTAATTTTGCCTCATATCCTTGAAATTTTCTGGTGAAATTCTCTAGTGATATCAGTATTGGTCATACCTTTTGTAATGACGTTTGATAACAGCGAGGTTTAGACAATGTGACATTTCTCCACAGCACGATAGGATCCACTGGGGGACCCCACACCGAGTTCATGTCATGTTTCACTCCGTTCTTCAAGATCTCGTAATATTTCCTCAGTGTTTTTGTTTTTTTTGGCAAAGGTATTGGTCTGCATTACGATTGAAACTAAAGTAAGGTGGGTTCCTCACGACCACCCTTCTTCTTTCGCATGACCTTTTTGATTGTGGGAAAATCTTCAAAGAAAGGGGCTGGCACAACTGATCGCGCAAACATCTGAGGCTGTGTCACTTCCAGTCCGCTCTGGCCTCACATAAAGGCCGGCCGGGTTGGAAAGAAACCAAACCACACACAAAAGGAAACAAATAGTGATAAATCACCTCCAAATGACCCTGGGATTTTTCGAAAAAAATCACAGGGTCACGAAAAGGGGTTGGGAACCACCATTAATTATTTTAAAACCTCTTTCAAGACAATTATTTAAGTTTGGGTTTTGAAGAATATATATTCCAAATACTTGATGCAAGGGCGGTTGTATGCAGTCTTCATCTGGGCACCTGACCATAAGCATGGTATATGCTGCCTTCACCGCTAAAGAAATCTATGGCGTCCAAGTCCTAGGGAAGCTGGCCACATGGGAAATTGGAGAAACCTGTTCAAATCTGTGGGTATAACACCACCAAAAAAGGTCCATAACAGGGAAAAAGTGCCAACCCGGCTTTCAAGATACTTATCGTATCACTTATCACCTAATCCTCCTTCTGAGGGTCGGGCCCGGGCTCTGCACCCCTCCGGGCTAATCTGGCACGTATAGTCAATCAAATGCAGCCTGAGAGGGAATTCACAGGGCTCAATTCCTGATGTTCTTGTTGTGTGATATACTTTCTGATGCCCAATATTTCACTAAGCCAGTCCAGTAGCATAACCACAGGGAAGCCACAAGCCATCAGAAACAGTGACTGCTTCTTTGTGAGGGCGATGGCAGATCGGTTCCATGGCTCACCCGACTTACCCACCATGTTTCCTGATACACCTGGTTTCTTTTTCCAAGGTTCTGACCACCTGAACCAAACTTGAGAGACAGGGACAGGAACAGCATGCTATACTACATGAGGCATTTAATGTCATCGTGAATGGATTCAATTGCATATTACATGCAGCATCCTGCACACGCATAATATGATATTCCATGCAAGCCACGATATGATTGATAATTGCACAATGCATTTTGCAGCAAATGTAGCTGGAACTTTTTGACCAAGGCCCCAAATCCCCGAAGTTCAAAGAATCCCTGGTGGCATCAAATGCACGAGGATATTCCCCAAAAAGTGACACTGGCATCGCTAAGCTGGTCCCCAGCGACGCTTGCCATGAAACCCATGCCATTGTTGGCATCCAAAATGTAACGGATCAAAAATTTTATACTCTACCTAGTCCACATCTTTGGGATCCTCATCATCATTGAGGTCATTACATTCATTTCCAGAACCCAATGCCCATGGCTCGGCCCCTACATGTTCCCAGCGGGCCATGAGCTTCGCCAGGCTCCACCTCACCCGAGCACGTTCAGCTGGATCTTGGAAATTTATACAGTACGTGTCTGAGAGTGGATGTAATGGCGAAGGGGGTTGTGGAAACAATTTTATGTTTTTTGAATTACATCATGATAATATAAATAATCCAATCATGAATATTCATTATGTTTTTTTTGCTGGTTTCCACCAAAGAAATGCATCACCGAACAATTTGAAACCTGGGGGCTCCGGACGACTTGTGAGGGCCATAATGGGTGTTCCAATAAATGGAACACCCCGGAGGATTCTTCTTGTTGATCGTCAACTGCGGCACACAGAAGTAAGCTCACCGGAATTGGATTTGATCATTGTAGCATAGATGCCAAAACTAAAATATCATTTTAAATTCTTGTCATACAGTGCCACGTCATGCCACACCCATGACGTATCACGCCTTCACACCATGATACTGCTCAATCTGTCGCAGTGTATGCTTTGAGGCGTTGTACACATAGAATCCCGCAGTTGTCAACCTGAATGTCCAAGCGTATTGAGATTAAAACCAGTGCGGTGAAACTTCGTGCTGGTTCACATGAAACCTGATATTGACTTTGTCTTTATAAATCATTCCCAAATCCATCTCTCTTCCGTTTAAAGAAATAGTAATCTTCTAAAGCTACCAGGTACTCGCTGGTGTGGGAAATCTAGCGTTTTTTCTGAATTTAATGTGACATCATAGTTTGAGCTCCGTACAGCACACCGATGGCTGATGGCTCACCGGACACCGCAGTAGAAGGGGCCCTCACAGTGAAGGACCTTATTTTCCCCATCGCATCGACAATTTGATGTTAAAGATGATGTTGTGTCAGATGTTGTTCGGTCCATTGGCTAATATATGTAAAAAATATATGATTCAGAGATCATGACAAACAAAATACCTTTGATCTTCCTTCCCAAATAGTGCGCATATTTTTGGCAAGCTGAGGTGAAGACTTTTTCTGCAAGGGAAACGATGGCAAAGTTGCCTCAAGGTGCTCACAGCTGTTTGCAACGTTCACGAGCCGCATGAAGTTCTGAACCTGCATACATGCAGTTCATGTTTCAAGATTTCAGGGAACGTTAACACTGTGGCTTCACATGACATGGGTGCCATTGGACAGTGCTGGCACATCATGGCTTACTTAGGCACACTTAAAACTAGTCAGGTTTGAAATCACAGTTTACACATATCTTTTCATATGAAATGCTGGAATTATGCATGACAACCATGTGATTCGATATGTGTTGGTAAGTAACCAAGACCACTGACATGGAATCCCAGCCGGCCTCTGGCGAACCGTCAGGGAGTTCTGGTTTCGTTGCCTTGGGCACTGCCTTGGGTTGCTTTACTTTTTCTGTCTTGGGCTCTTTCTTGATTGCTTTCTTGGGACGGCATGTTTCTGGTGGCACCTGCGGTTCTTCTCGACCTTTTGGCGGGGAAGCACTCCTACCTGTTTGGGTCTCAACATCAGGCTTTTGGCCACCCCCTTTTCCACGCCCCTTCCCCTTCCCACGGCCCCTGCCACGCCCTTTCCCTTTCCCACGGCCCCTGCCACGTCCGCGGCCACTTGTGGGTTTCTCCTCACCACTTTCTTCATCCTTATATTCACGATCAATATCCTCAACTCCCTCCTCTTCCCCACCATCAGCGTCCTCAAGTTTTCTTTTTTTGACAGCGCTTCTCATCACCCTTTGCGCCTAGCATGTGGGAATCGATGTTGGGTGGTCCCAGATTTTATCAATGGATTCACATGAAACTTACACGCGTCAAAAAAGTGCTGGTACCCCTATTCGCCTGCAGAACATCAGAATTCATCTTTTCCTTGCCAAGCTCCAGGCACATCGCCTCAGCTTGACGTTCCAGTTCGGCATCTTGATCTGCCAGGTTGGCAGTCAATGGCTTCCGGTCCTGCCACAGCTAACGCGGTTGGACACAGGTGTTTTTCACAGAAAGACGTTTGATGTATATTACGTACCAATTTAAATTTGATCCAAATATACGAGCTCGACACTGTAGTTCTATCTATTTGGGTTCTAGGCAATTGTGTGATCCCCAGCTCCAACCTTCTCATCAGACGGGTCAGCGTCGTCATCAGAGTCTGCGTCCTATGCAACTAAGATGGATCGTATATGGTTTGTTACATAACATATTCAAAATTTGTGAAACTACCCAGTAGCAATTAATAATGGTCTGACCCCAGTTGCGAAGAGGATGGATCCAAGGCCACTGCACAGCACCCATGCAACTTGTGATAGTTCTCACCTTGTCCGTCATGTCGTCCAAAGGGCCACCATGAAGTTCAACTGGAATGGGTGAGTCTTCCTGGGATGGCAACTAGAATCGTATGCATACAGCATAGCCGCATCCTGACACAAGCAGTATAAGATAATTAATATAACATCCCAATTATAGTGAGTGTCAACATTTTCCATTTAATCATATCCTAGGCTCACCATCATCGTCATCATCATTCTCAGCATCAGAAACCTGATGCACGTCCACCTCCAACTCTGTGACAGATGAGCTTGATCTGGAAACAAGACTTTCCTGCATTGGAGGTGCGGGCGGCCCAAAACTTTGGGTGCTCAGCTTGGAGAACTGTGACTATGAACTGGCTACTTGGACCAAAACTAAGTGAATCGAGCCTTCGACTTTGAAGCCTTAGGGCCACGACTGGGAATCTTGCAACCATCGTCTCGGAGTGTACCAGTGTCCTTGCATGATATATATGTTGGCTCCCACAAGTTGAAACAAAAACGGCCCCACAATTATCCAGAAGAAAACCCATGTAATTATGTTGAATAATGTGAGCATTTGGGAGCAGTCCTGCAGCTTCTGTCTGACAATGGTTTTGAGTTCTTGCATTTTGGTACTTTTGCTTCCCCTGCGCCAAAAATGTGCTTAACACATGGTGGTGTTGAAAAAATGTGAACAAAAATATCATGGAAATGAATGTGCTGCTCTGAGTCGGGACTATGTTCCTGTTTGTCACCCTGCCTCACTCCTTTGTTCCGCTGGAACCGTTGCATCACATAGGCTGCAAGAGCCCTGTGCTGGCCCCCTTCGACAAGACTCCATGCCTCTCGGTGCCACAAACCAAGAGGATTGGGTGGGAGCTGGACCGTGGTAATTACAGGGACGTTGTTTTTGCATGTTTTGGCATTGGCAAACGCAGAAAATGGAAAGGGGCCTGATCAACCCACAATACTATTTTCACTATTCAAAATTGATTGATTGTGGCATGGCCTCATGCTCATGACGATGACGAAAACACTTGTTCAACTGCAATTTCTGCGAGAGTTCTGTCAAAGTCTCCTGGACAGGCAGAGGAATGGGAGACACCAAGGGATAATTTGCCTGAAATAACTAGCAACTATGAAGGTTTTGTGTTCCAATTAGGTCTGTTTCCAACGTAATTATAATATCACATGGCTGTCCTCCACCTCTGTCTTTCGAGGAAGGGATGAAAACTCTCCCACAAAAGTTGCCAAATAGCTAGCCAGGAACTCATAGTTGCATCCACGGACGGCCTGACATGTGATGTGACATTGTCTCAACCCGGAATACTTTGTAATAGACCACCAAGATTGACATACTTTGTGTTTAGTTTTGCTGGTCTAGAATGCAGTGCAAAGTTCTTTTTTCTCCAGAAATAGATCTTGCCTCATGTTCACCCACTTGTCCTGACGCGATGTCCACGAGAGAGAACTTGCAAGCCTGAGCTGCGTTGTGAATAAGACAAACGTGGGCATAAAAGAATCAAGTGGTTTGGTCTGACTGATGCATAGTTCAAAAACCCTATTCCAAAATGTTTCTTTGTTACACATGTTTATCCAAGAAACTCTAGGGTCCCTTTCTGACAACCTGTGATTTTCCCGAAGCTCCTTGCGCCTTTCACGGATGTAGGTCGGCGTCAGGATCTCCAAGTAAAACTCCTGTCATGACTCATGGTGCTGACAACCCGGCCATCACAGATATTGTGCTCATGAAAATTCAGTAAATGATTGAACTACCAGTCTCATCCTCATCATGATTTATATCATCATAATAACCACCAAATCCCATGTCCCTGCAAAAAGACACCCTAACATAGCCTAACCACTTGCCCACATGCACACCTTCAGAAGATGCATGACATCTGGTCGGCATCTTTGATTGATCAAACTCTTTGCAGGTCGGGCAGCCATTGCTCTATACGCACTGTGTGCCAAGTGGAAAAAAAAGCATGCTGCTGACACCATTCCCAGGTTTTTTTTTGAGAAAACCTATGCAACCAGTGGCCACCTTGAGAAATAATCCACCCCTTCAGGTAGTAGAGTGAACTGGCTTGAGCCTATGCAACATCAGCTTAAGAGGTAACTGGGTGGTGAATGCATTTCGGAAAGTTGCAAGTTCCAAAGTCAACCCATTCATGTCTCATGGGGTGTCATTTTTTTGGGATTCCCCAAAGATACAGTGCTCTGCACGCTGCGGCAGGGCGGGGTGGGTGGCACCTGGACTCCAAATCTCCTTGTCCATAAGGGATTTAGCCCAAGCTGTCCACATGGCTCCAGCAAATAGACGCTGGCTGCAAAGAAACTTTGGATTTAGGGCCCATAGTTTTCCCTGGCGCTAAAAAAAGACGGTAATCTTGATTATTAATGTGTTTCCTACGATTCCTGGATACTCTTGGGGATGACCTTTGTGGATCCCAAAAGATTCATTGGGCTTACTGTTCTCTCTGATCAAAATTGTATAATTTTCATGCTGAAATGATTCCATTGCCATCATCCATGGCTGCTTCTTCCAGCCAACACCCCTTAAGGGAGAGGCCTGAGGCGCAAGATGAGGGGATGCAAATAACAGTCGTCATTTTGCAAGAAACAGTCGTTCTGGCAAGGCTGTTTAATAAACAGTCGAAGAAGCTCAGGGTATATATATACACATCTAAGTCATCAAAATCAATGGGCCATGGCATCATATGGCATCTATAGCTACCATGTGAAATTCGTCGTAAATTTCACTCGGAGCTTACGGGTTGAACCTGGATCCATGGAATCCATGGCTTGACCAGACACCAATTTGGGGGTTAGGGGTCACCCACTCTTTTTTTTTTGGACATGAAATAAATCATGGGTTGGTTTGCCTGTCCCATTTTGGGAATATTGGACATCACCTGAAAAAGTAGCCATTATAGACCATATACCTAATGGTTGGGTGATGTTCAATGGGGACATTTAATGACCCATGTAAATCAAAGTCAAAATCATGAGTTTTATATTTGGCATGCTCTTCTCAAAAGTTTTAAAAGGGCCTCTTGGTTTATGATAGATGCTCACCATAAATCCAACCGCTAGTGAACTAAACCACGTTTCCAACGATAAATCACATTTATACATACAATCACCAACCTATTCTTTTTTGTGAGTTCAATCTATTTTTTGGGCAACATACATCATATAAATCCATATGTGTTTTTGGTGATTTCCAGGTACCCCCTAAACCCGCCCCGGGACCCTTGGTTTCTTCGCCATGCCATGCGCCATGCGCCGCGGCGCCGAGGATCTGCCAGGCCGACCAACGGCTGACGGAGCGCAGCCACATGACGCAGTGGCTGATGAAGCCCTTCGCGCGGGGCCTCTGTCTGCGCATCCACGTGGCGCCTCGGTGGATGGTCGGTGGCGGTTGGGGGGAAGGTACCCGGCCTGGTAAACTGGTTGGTGGTGACTGGAACATGACTGGATGATTTTTCCCATCATATTGGGAAGAATCATCCCAACTGACGAACTCATATTTTTCAGAGAGGTTGAAACCACCAACCAGTAAACGTTTACAGTTTGCGAACTTGAACATGGCCCAGTCGAAATAGTGGATTTAGCCAGCTAGAAAATGGTGGATCTTTCCATAGTTATGTAAACGTTTACCAGAGGGTGTTTTTTGTTGGGTTGGAGAAGACGGCGAAATGGCGAAATGGAGAACATGGATCTGACCAATTTGGGGACAACAACTAGGGAAGAATGAGGGGGAAAAACTGGTAGAAAAACAATGAGGCAGTGGATGGAAGTTTGAACAGCATAGTAATTATGGAAACCATATGTATCTCCGAACGAGGTGAGAGTTGATGAAGGTTGTGGCATTTCTTGCAGACTTTGGGTCTCGATCATGTTGTTTTTGATTTGACACATTGAATTCAGGCCCTTGTACGACTTGTACGCCTAATGAATTTGATTTCATCCTACCCTCTGGTAATTTAACATAGCTATGGAAAATCACAATTTTTAATGGACAAATCCACTACAAATGGCCATTTTCAATAGCTATGTTAGTTTACTCGGATAGTGTGTACAGTTGGTCACTTAGCTGGATTAGTAATTAGTATAATCCTTTGAAGAGACGATATCACCGCAAAGTACGTGGGGCTGATGAGAGATGAGACGAGCTACCCGGCATTTAACAAAACCTGGCAGGGAAGAATCACCATTTCAATAGTGTTTTTTTTTTTAATGTTTTTTTTTTAATAGTTACACTAAACTTCACTAGACCTGTACTATATATATAGTGGACTATCATAGACTATATCCAAGCTTCACTTAAAATTTTCATGCTTGGTGAATCATTGATAGACATGTTTTGTATATGTTTTTATTGCCAAGTGAGATAAACGTAGGACCGTTGGGGGTGATGAACATGGGGTACACAAAATCACCGTTTTTCCAATTAACAATATAAATTGTTGTTGAGTAACTAACCCATTCCAAGACACACCCCAAACTACTATTTGTTGGCGGAACACACTCTTTCTGATAAGTTAAAGTTCATTTTTCGGTGGTTAAAGCCAGATTTTTTGCAGTGAAATCCATATATAAAATGGATTAAGATGGCTAGTCAAATATACAGTGTTTCAATATTTTCGATATATTTATCCATATTCACCCATTTTGCGGCTGCGGTAAAACTCCGAAAAGGGGCCACCCAAGTGGCCACCATGGCCACCATGGCCACTAATCCCGAGGTGATTGCGCTGGGCTACATCTTCTCTCCCGTGGGTGAAACCCTGCTGAAGAGCATGGACGTGCGCGCCTAGTCAGAACGGCACATGTTAAACACGTGGCGTCTCCGGCGTTTCCGGTGTCATTTTTTTTTCGTATAGGAACTACCATCCGAAAAAGGATGGAAACGTCATTTTCCCACTGTTTGAGGGTTTGACTCTTCGATGTGTTTTTTTGTGCTATAAACCCGACGGTTGATTATAGTAATTGATTTAAGTGATGTAACCAACAATCATTGGGAATTCACCAGGTCCACAGAACGCTGAAACACTTCGGGTTTCAAAGCTGGTTTGGTGATTTCCAGCATGAGTCAGGCATCAGAGACAATCATGGCATCAGACCTTATCTTTCCAGGGATCAGACCTTTCGGCGTCCGGCACCAGAGGGACCATAACATGTTTGTTGTTGTTTTTTTGTTTGGTTTGTTTGGTTTGTTTGGTTTGTTTGTTTGTTTGTTTTTTTTGTTTGGTTTGTTGTTGTTGTTGTTGTTGTCGTTGTTGTGGTTGTCGTTGTCGTTGTCGTTGTCGTTGTCGTTGTCGTCGTCGTCGTTGTTGTTGTTGTTTTTGTCGTTGTTGTTGTTGTTGTTGTTGTTGTTGTTGTTGTTGTTGTTGTTGTTGTTGTTGTTGTTGTTGTTGTCGTTGTTGTTGTTGTTGTTGTTGTTGTTGTTGTTGTTGTCGTTGTCGTTGTCGTTGTCGTTGTTGTTGTTGTTGCTGTTGTTGTTGTTGTTGTCGTTTGATATTTGTCAATCTGTTGTGATTGGCAATATCCGCGACAATTTCAGGTCTCAAATGTAGGCACTGTGCCATTACATTCCTTCTTGACATAGATATTCTAGAAGTAATTGAAGGCACCGCATAACCTCCAAGGCTCCAAGGTTTCTATTTCACTTTACCCAATGATTCCCAATGATTCTCATCCATGATCTCCCAACCTTCAAGGCCCGGGCCGGCCCGAAACACGTCACGCCTTTTTTTCCAAGGTGCACGGTCCAATACCTTGGCCAGTGAACACGCCTTGTGGATCACTTTCTACATGGGGGCTGGGTCGCTCGCTCGTGCTGGTGGTTGGTTGGATTTGGCGGGTGGAACTTTAGGCCTAGAACCTGGGGATGAGGGGTGTTTTTTGGCCTAGAACCTGGGGATGGGGCGTTTTTTGGCCTAGAACCTGGGGATGAGGTTGAAGATGACCATGAATGATTCACTGGATGGTCTATTTTTAGGAATGCGATTGTCACTGGATGACCTCAAATGAGCAGTGTTCAAAACCCCTGTTGCTTGATGATTGAGGATTATACTACCCTTTATATGAATCTATAATCCAAGAACGGGGACTCCTAACCAACAGAGGGGATATCATGATTCTTAATAGAATAGATGATATAGGGATTAGAGGGGATATATTCCATTAGGGATCATAGTTAACCAGAATTTCATGGAATGACAGAGGGTTTTTGAACACAAATGACTGTCCAAAATCCCAGCTGAGCCCCTGTTTGGTGCAGAAGAGTGGCCTACGTGGCCTATATTTTCCCCATTGAAGAACCAGGTACCCGGCCTGGTAAACATACAAAAAACTATTGAACATGATCATGTAGTTCGTGGATTTAGCCATTAAAAATAGTGATTTTCCAGTTCGCCATGTTAGTTTACCAGAGGGTAACACATGGTAAATTATGGTCACACTTCATATTTCCTGGTGAAATCCCCCGATGTTCTGGCTGGAAATCGCTCCAAACCTCGGTTGACTCATCGTTTTTCCTGGTAAATCACCATTTCTTGGTCCTTAAACCACCATTTTTCCTATGGTTTTCTATGGTTTTCTATGGATTTCTATGGATTTCTAGCCGTGAAATCACCATGAATCTCATCCATTTACCATCACCTCATCGCCTCGTCTCTCAGAGGTGTGGCTGTCTGCTGTGGCTCTTCCTCTCACGTGGCATTCCGCCCAATCTTCTGATGGCCAGCTGCTGGGTTGAAGCGAAGGGGCGTGAGAAGTAAAACACGTGTGGATTTGGATGAAACTGAACCCACATGGTCTGTCTGAAAATGGGGTATACGGTATACCGTATACCTTCTAAATGGCTTTAAAAATGAAGAAGATGATGACTCACAAATGGATTTAGAGATACCATATTTTCACACTTACCCATGTTGTATTTGTTTATAGACCATGCAGTGAAGAATATCATGAATCATGATCATGTGCGGGGATGCTTATACCACCAACGGTATGGGTGAAAATACGCTCTGGTAAACCAACAGTTTGCTATTGAAAATGGCCATTGATAGTGGATTTTCCCATTAAAAATGGTGATTTTCCACAGTTATGTAAATGTTTACCAGAGGGTATGTTGATGAATGATGATATAAACCAACAGGCAGGTGAAGGGGCGGTAGGTACATGGGGGCCCGAATGATTGGTAAGTAACTAGAACCATCAACGGGATAAACTAGGGACAAAACCTATCGGAAATTAACCAAATTGATGATAGCCAGTTGGTCTATCAATATCTGATTTGTGCTGGAGAGATCTGCAGGACATAACCACCTAGTGAAACCTGGCTCTTCCTGTCATGTAAATATGGGGATCCCACCGAGAACAGTTGGGAGTTTCACACCGGAGATGTTCGGGTTTTCAGCGAGGGATTTCAGCAACACGACTGGAGAGAAGTTGTCACCAAAGATGAGGACAGCATCTGAGGTTTGACGTGTTTTTTTTTCTGCAGCTTCTATGGGGATAAACACATCTGACAAAAATTTGGTCACGACCTCACGTCGCGACGTCAATGATGGGAATTGTAGGGGTAAGACTCCCAAAATCACTGAGTATTGAAAGCTAGTACCCTCTGGTAAACGTTCACATAACTATGGAACAATCCACCATTTTCAAGCTGGGTAAATCCACTATTTCGACTGGGTCATTTTCCAGTTCGCTATGTTTGACACAACCAGAGGGTATAGCTTAGTGAAACTTTGTACTTCAAAGCGAAAATTGTCCTCTTCGATGACCCAAGTGCTTTCGGAGGAACTGAGGAACTGGCTTCTGGGAATTTCTTCAAGATGTCCCATCGAGTTTCGAGGTAAACCGTTTATCTTAGCAATTTTCAGTCGGTCAAATATTAATCAACACATAAATATTAAGCATATAGATACACATAGCCATCTGGTTGGTGGTTTCAAACATGTTTTATTTTCCATAATTTATGGGATAATCCTTCCCATAATATTTTTCAAGATGGTTAAAACCACCAACCAGTCATACTAGTCATATGATGCGAACATTTCCATCACTTTCCAGGGCTTGTTCAAAAGCAAATTTAAAAATCCATGGCTTCCGGGCATTGGTTGAATCATAGAATTGGATCATGGGAAAATTGAAACCGGAAAACCCTATATGTGATGGTAAAAACCCATGGTTTCCGGTTAAGATTTTCCCTTTAACCACTCCATTGATTGAAGGGAACAGCCAACCGGAAACCACCACCGATCCAAGGCTCGCAGTTGCTGAACATCATCTTCTTCGTCTTGGTGCCATCGCTGCCAGGACGAGCAAATTTGTGGGGCAACGTGGGCAACGTGGGCAACGTGGTGAGTATGGTTTCCAGGTGGTGAAGATGAGGATTTTTCACATAGCCTCCAGTAAAATTAGTATGGACCATAAAAAAAAAATGGAAAACATAATAAATACATGGTCA